GCCAACACTGCTGATGTGTTCACCAAGGCACTTGCGCCTTGCGACCATCAGCGCTTTTGTACCCAGCTGGGTCTTGTACCTGTCTTGCCTCACTTGCTCTCTTCTTGACTTTACTTGTACTTTGACATATATATACCTGCTCTTGCTTGTCTAGTTTTATATATATGTCTGTACTCCTGCATGTGAACTGGCCTCTGGCCTTGCTCTTGTGCTCGGACTGTGTGGTGACTTTGTGATCCACCCTGAGCTTGCTTTGCTTTGCTTGACTGGTCTTGTGACCCCTTGTTCTCCCCCACTTTGCCTATGGGGGTGTGTCAGATTATTATAGCTGATGCATGTTTGTAGGCTATAGTGGGGTAGCACATATGGGGTACAGTTTGCTAGGGTTGTATTTGTACCCAACTCTGACTTAGTCAATTCATTCCTGTTCATTCATTTCACAGTTCCAGTGTCTGGCTGCTGCTTCACCTCATCTCGTGTCCGTAATGGTTACCCCTGAGGGAGACCCGGATGCACTTGACATCCCGACTCCGCGCTCTTATGCGGAGGCCGTAGAGGGTCCCTACTCCTCTCAGTGGCAGGCAGCTATGGATGCAGAGATGGCTTCCTCGAAGTCCAAAGGCACCTACGTTGACGCGGTTCCCCCACCTGGGGCGAACATCGTCAGTGGCATGTGGATCTTCAGGGTGAAGCGGCCGCCGGGCTCTCCGCCTGTCTTCAAGGCGCGACACGTGGCTCGTGGCTTCAGTCAGCGGCAGGGAGTTGACTACTTTCAGACCTTCTCTCCCACCCCGAAGATGACCACTCTTCGGGTGCTGCTACACATAGCCGCGCAGCGTGACTACGAGCTTCACTCCCTTGACTTCAGCACTGTTTTCCTGCAGGGTAGCCTGCACGAGGAGATCTGGCTGCGCCGTCCACCTGGCTTCACTGGGACTTTCCCTCCTGGCACCTAGTGGAGCCTCCAACGGCCAGTCTACGGTCTCCGCCAGGCACCGCGCGAGTGGCACGACACACTGAGGACTACGCTTGCGGCTCTTGGGTTTGCTCCCTCTACTGCTGACCCGTCGCTGTTTCTACGCACCGACACCTCTTTGCCGCCATTCTACATCCTCGTGTACGTCGACGACTTGGTCTTTGCCACTGCTGACACTGCTGGACTCGCCCACGTGAAGTCCGAGCTGCTGAAGAGACACACGTGCACAGACCTGGGTGAACTGCGCAGCTACCTTGGCTTGCAGATCACTTGGGACAGAGCACGCCGCACCATTACCCTGACTCAGTCACACATGGTGCAGCAGGTCCCTCAGCGCTTCGGCTTCACGTACTCCTCGCCTCAGGCCACTCCTCTGCCTACTCGCCACTCGCTCTCAGCTCTGCCTTCGGATGAGTCCGTAGAGTCGAGTGGCCCGTACCCAGAGCTTGTTGGCTGCCTCATGTACCTGATGACCTGCACACGACCTGACCTTGCATACCCTCTTAGCATTCTTGCACGCTATGTTGCTCCTGGGAGACACCGACCAGAGCACATGGCTGCAGCGAAGAGGGTGTTGCGCTACTTGTGCAGTACGTCGGGCATGGGGCTAGTGCTTGGAGGGCAGAGTCCAGTGGTCCTCACTGGGCACGCGGACTCTTCTTGGGCTGACGACCAGGCTACGCAGCGGTCGTCACAGGGTTACACCTTCAGCCTTGGTTCCGGCTCTGTTTCGTGGCGGGCTACTCGCTCGTCTTCTGTTCTCGGTTCCAGTTGTGAGGCCGAGATCTACGCCGGGGCCATGGCTGCACAGGAGCTTCGCTGGCTCACCTACCTGCTGACCGACCTTGGAGAGCCGCCTCGTTCTCCTCCAGTCCTGTACGTAGACAACAAGGCCATGCTGGTCTTGTGTCGAGAGCAGAGACTGGAGCACAGAACAAAGCACATTGCTCTTCGCTACTTCCTTGCTCGTGAGCTACAGCAGCGTGGTCAGTTGCGGCTTGCGTACGTGGCCTCTGAGGCCAACACTGCTGATGTTTTCACCAAGGCACTTGCGCCTTGTGATCATCAGCGCTTCTGTACTCAGCTTGGTCTTGTGCCTGTCTTGCCTCACTTGCTCACTTCTTGACCTTGCTTGTACTGTCACATATATATACACCTGCTCTTGTTTGCTTAGTCTCTTATATATATATGTGTGCTCCTGCATGTGAACTGACTTTCTGGCCTTGAACTTGTGCTCGGAATGTGTGGTGACTTTGTGATCCACCCTGAGCTTTGCTTTGCTTTGCTTGACTGGTCTTGTGACCCCTTGTTCTCCCCCACTTTGCCTATGGGGGTGTGTCAAATTATAATGTTGTCTAGGCTTTAGTGGGGTAGCCCATATTTGGTACACATTTCTAGGGTTGCATATTTGTATCACTTTCATTCCATAGTCACTTCATTCTCGTTCTAATTTCCTCACGCGCGATCCAGTCGATCGGTGCCGGCTGTTAGTAGATCTGCACTGTGGATGCCCGATTGATCCTGGAGAGGGTTACACGCGCGTTCGCCTGGGGGTTATGGGCGCACTGACCCGCTACTGAAATAAGCCCTTTTATCCCAATGGTCTAGTGGTTGGGATTCTGACACCTGCCGCGTGTCAGGTACGTGCGGGGGGCTTTCAAGCAGCAGGACTGGTAAGTTCCACTCCTGGTTGTCGTCGTCGCTGTAGTCGTGACGCGTGCTAAACGGATTGTTGTTCGAGGACGCTTCGATTGGGTCGGGCGCAAGCTCAAGCGAGAGTGAGCGCGCACGCGGGCGACGAGATCCGCTCGTCATGGTCATATTCCCCATGACATTGCGGACGGGGGCGGCCTGTGATGGCTGCTACTGCTGCTGTTGAACTGTTGGGTTCAGATAGCGCGATGGGGGTTGGTACCCCGGGGCGGGACGCGTGTCATTCCTCGCGTCTTGTCGGCCGGACCAGCTGCTCGGATTGGTCTGGCGAGGGCGAGATCGATGCTTGCATCGATCCGCCAAGTGCTCGAAATTTCTGCAGATCTTGCAGTAGAGGCGCCGCGGCCGTCGCTCTTCTGTGTTGTCGGCGAAGAATGGGAGGCGCTCCTTATCCCGTCGCGGCGCTGGTCGCTGCTGGTCCATATCCCTTTGTTCGACGAGAAGGGCGGCGCAAAGGGCAGCCTCCGAGATGACCCCCTGCTGTCGGAGAAGCGCCTTGCAGGGCCGCCACTCTGGGCCGAGACCTTGGAGCACGATGTTCACGAAGATCTCCTCCTTGATCGTGCTCCCCAATTTCGCGACTTGATCGCGTAAGCTCCGACAGCGATTCAGGTAATTGTTGGCCTTCTCTCCTGGTGCCATCTTTGTCTCCAGTAGTTGCTGAAGCAGGCGGCTCGACGAGACTGAGTCCTTGGGTTGGTACACGCCATTCAGGTGGCGCCAGGCGTTGAGGGCTGGAGCAGGCGAGGTCTTGTATGAGCGAATGCTCAATTGCTCCGTTGGTGACATGTACCGCAGGAGAACCCCGTACGACATCAGGGACTCGTTGTAGTACTTGGTTTTTGCGTCGTCAGTATCCTCTGTAGGTCCCGAGTAGCTCCCGTCGAAATAATGATAAATCTGCGCGTTTTGCAGCAGCAGCTCCAGCTCGAAGCTCCAGGTATAGAAGTCTCTGCCGTCAAAGCACACACTTGTCTTTATTTTTGATATGCTCAAAAACCTTGATTGCGCAGAGAGAAATGCTTCATTGCTGGGACAGGGAGTCTTGGGTGTTGAGCCACTCGTATCAAGAGAGAAGCCTTGCGGGGCGGAGTTTTGGCCGTTTGAGGCCGGTTGAGTGGGTTGGGACGAAGTTCCCGCGTCGCCATTCCACAATGTTTGGAGCCCTTGCTCCAGGCTCGTGAGTCGCTGAAGCAGTTGTGCGAGGACGGCGGAAGGGATCGTCGTCGTTTCCTCGCTTGTCGCAGCCGGGTTGGGCTGCGCTTCAGCCGTCAGATTCGTCTGACCTCCAGATCCTCCGGCCATTCTTACACGCGATCGTGTGCCGGACGCCAATTTCCGAATGTCGTAGGTTTCAGAGATGGCAGTGCGAAGGATTCCCGAGACGCTCTCGTACCATGCTGCGATCAGAAAGTGATCGTAACCAGGATCACCTCGGGAAGGTTCACACATTTCTAGTCTAGTGGTGGTGGGTCCTTGACCTCAAAGCAGAGTGAACGTAAATGCTTGAGATGATAAAAACATGCAGTACAAGGAATATAAATAAGAGTACAAGGGAATTCGAAACGACCTAGCTAGCCATGTACTCTAAGGGGTACATTCCCTTATTGCATCGAAATCCAACCGTGTGACTCCGGGTGGTTACGGAACTGTTCGGGCAGAATCCTCGCCACTGCTGCTGCCTGGTGCTGTCTGCTCGACGGTCCAGATGCTCATCGTAACCGTACGTCCCTTCGCATTACTTCTGCCCTTTCGTCTTCATTCTCGGTAGTGCATGCTTCGATTGCTACGGTGAGGAGTGCACAATAGTGTTTCAGTAACCACTATTCGTAACAAGATTGACTAAGGAAGCTTTCACAATTCTTACATTAAGGCGATGACAGTAAGCTGGTAAAAAGGGTGTCGTGGGGTGATAAGAAACAGATTTGTTACAATCCCCTGGAGAAAAATGCCAAAATACGATAAGCCCCTAGATCATCCATTCAGGGTAATTCGATAGTTCATCCTATGACTAATGAGAGCGTGCAGATTTGATTTACATTTCTACTAGACCAATTGTTTAGGCAAGCGGAACTTGATAGAACCTCGTTCTCCAATCGAACTGCTCTGTAATATGTTCAGTCGCAGCCCTTATGCAGCGTCAACCGCACTCTTCCTTTCTTTGATGGCTGTCAGAAACCCATTTCTAGGTCGAAATTGCGGGGTGTAAGTTCCTCCTGATTCTTCCTAGATAGTGCGCCGACTCATTCTTGAAGTCCTAATCAATTCCTAAGTTGGTACGACGGCTATCAGCAAATGCCGATTTCCGATCATGGCGGGAAGTCAGAATGACCGGCCGAAAGAGAGCTCGTCCACGTCTGATGGCCGCGTCATCCTCCACGTGGATCTGGACTGCTTCTATGCCGCGGTGCTCTAAATTTCGTTTCTCGATCGCTTGGATTCTCAGCGGGTTTTAAGTTCCGCCGTTAGGAATGAGCTAGTGGAATGGTTTTTGCGAGTAGGACGCGTCCGCATTTCGGGTTTCCGAACCCGATTACCTTTCTTTATTCGCTTTTCCCTTTCCATCCTGCGATTCCTTATTTTTTCTATCGCCGCCTGCGCGGTCTAACACAGTGTTTTTTCGGCATTTGTCATTACTATAAATGTCTGACCCCATCCATTTGTGTGCCTGCTTCACAGGTGGAGGCTGTGCGGCTTGGTATACCCAGGGACACGCCGCTTGCCGTGCAGCAGTGGGAGGTGAGGGGACAGTGCCTCCATCCATCGTCCTGATTTATGTTCATGTGCAGATGCACATGTCACGCCATGCCTCTTTCTGAGGCGCTTCAAGAATAGACAGTACTTCTATCCATCGTCTTTTATGCCATGCGCGCGTGCACATGTCACGCCGTGCCTCCATTCACCACACCTCCACGCGATGATCACACCTTTATTATTCGCCCGGCTGTGCCTGAGGAAAGACTCCTAACAGTGAACCATTTTAGACTCACACATCATCTATGCTCTCTGCGCACGGCGAGTGTCGAGGCGCCTTACGAGTCATTTCATCGTGCCTCTAATCGCTGCCTCTTTCCCTTGCTCGTTCTCTCTCTCACTGTCAGGGTTTGATCGCTGTGAACTATGCGGCGAGGGCAAGGGGCGTGCAGAGGCACGACCGCGTGTTTCAAGCCAAGCAAAAGGTGCGCTTGTCCAGGGGTTGGGATGCATTGCATGCACCGCTTGTATCAGGCGTTTTTATAAGAAATCGTAAATTGCCCTGGGTTCTATAATTCTATTCCAGGCCAAAAAAGGTGCACGTGCTGTGCTGTGCTGTGCTGTGCTGTGCTGTGCTGAGCCGTGCTGTGCTGTGCTGATTCGTGCTGTGCATTGCACGGCGTGTATGTGAAGTGATTGAGAGGCCATTGATTGTTAGTTCCTCTCGCCCTCGCTCCACCCACCCACCTCGGTGCCCCTGGTCAACGCCATTAGGCGCACCGGTGCCCCTGGTCAACGCCATTAGGCGCACCGGTGCCCCTGGTCAACGCCATTAGGCGTACCGGTGCCCCTGGTCAACGCCATTAGGCGCACCGGTGCCCCTGGTCAACGTCATGAGGCGCACCGGTGCCCCTGGTCAATGCCATGCCATTAGGCGCCCCTCACCTCACACTCCCTCAGCCTTTCCTCTGCCCACCCTTTCTCCCTGCTATAGTATCCAGAGCTGCAGCTGATACATGTGGAGACGGTGGGGGGGGCGCCAGGAGCAGGGCGCAATGCAGGCAAGGTGTCTCTGGAGCGCCACCGTGGAGGCGCCTCAAAACCCGTCTCATCCACCTTTTCATCCTCCACTTCCCCCACCCACCTCCGCACTGCAGTGTCCGGAGCTGCAGCTGATACATGTGGAGACGGTGGGGGGGGCGCCAGGAGCAGGGCGCAATGCCGGCAAGGTCTCATTGGAGCGCTACCGGGCCGCCTCTCAGCGCGTGTTCTCTGCCTTCCGCCGCGTGTGCCCCATTGTGGAGCGCGCGAGCATTGACGAGGCATACATGGACGTGTCTGCTATGGTGGGCACACGGGGGGAGAGGATAGGAGAATGGAAGGGGGGTTTGCTGTTTGTTCCTCCTCTTTATGTTGCACCAGTGTTCGCCGCACGGTGGAGCGTACACCAGCATTCATGAGGTGAGCGTGAGATGTACATGGATGGATCATGAATGTGCTCTTGTGACTCCCCCCCCCCCGTGCCTCTTCCTTCCTCTGTGTCTCTTCCGCCCTGTGTGCGGGCAGGTGGATGCCATGCTCTCACGCCCACCTGCTGCAGTCCCGCCTGCACCAGATGAGGCCTGCCCAGCCACAGGTGCCACCTTCCCTGCTGCTACTGCTGCCTGGGAGGAGCAATGGAAAGCTCTGTTGGAGAGTGTGACTGAGGTGAAGGCAGGGGGTGCGACTGAGGTGAAGGAAGGGAGTGTGACTGAGGCGAAGGCAGGGGATGGGACTGAGGTGAAGGAAGGGAGTGTGACTGAGGCGAAGGCAGGGGGTGGGACTGAGGTGAAGGAAGGGAGTGTTACTGAGGCGAAGGCAGGGGGTGGGATTGAGGTGAAGGAAGAGAGTGAGACTACAGCGAAGGCAGGGAGTGTGACTGACGAGAAGGCAGAGGGTGCAACTGAAGCAAAGGCTGAGGAAACTGATGGAGGGTGTAATGCGGATGGAACAGAGAAGAACGTTTCAGAAGAGGGAGGAGAGGGGAAGGATGGGGTGCAGCAGCCGCAGCAAAAGCGAGTGGGGGAGAGGAAGGCAGAGCATGGAGGGCCAGAAGGTGATGGATCAGAAGGTGGTGGATCAGAGGGCAGTGGATCAGCACAGGCACCAGCGGTTCCCAAGGCACGGCTGGTGGTGCGGGAGGGACCTCTGGATGGTCACGACGAAGTGGAGAGGAGGTGAGACTCGCCTCTCCTTCCCTCTTCTTTCCTCTCTGCCGACCTGTTCTCCCCATTTCCTTCCATGCGTGTCTTGGCCGGTAGCAAGTGTGTGGCACGGGTAAGCGTGTTTGAAGAAGTGTTTTGAGACGTCTCAAAACTCCCCATTTCCTTCCATGCATGTCCTGGCCGATAGCAAGTGTGTGGCACGGGTAAGCGTGCATGCAACAGGGCAGCAGGTTTATGGCATCCCCTCTCCCGTATGACCCACCAGGCTGCAGGCAGGAGTGGTGGTAGCCCACCCACTGTTGCGGGAGGTGCTGCCACTGCTGGGTGCTGCAAGAGTGGGTGCTGCATCTCCCAGCACTCTTGCGTGTACCCACTCACACGGTGAGCGTGGGAGTGGCGCGCTGCAAGAGTGGGTGCTGCATCCCTTCCCCGCGCCTCCCCCGTTTCCCCCCACCCCTTCCCCTCACCACCAGGCTGCAGGCAGGAGTGGTGGTAGCCCACCGTCTGCAGCAGGAGGTGCTGGGCTCGCTGGGCTACACGGTGAGTGTGGGAGTGGCGCGCTGCAAGCTGCTCGCCAAGATGGCCTCCGCCATGACCAAGCCGTTTGGGATCACTGTGGTGAGTGTGAATGGTGAGACAATGGCAGGTGTATTAGGGGCCACTCACTGTGGTGAGTGCGTTTTGTGTTGAGTCGACTCGCAAGCTGCTCGCCAAGATGGCCTCCGCCATGACCAAGCCGTTTTGGATGACCGTGGTGAGTGGTGAGTGTATCAGGTGCATAGCATTGCGATGAGTGCCTGGCAGGGGGGCATGTCATCATGTCGACTCACAAGTCGCTCGCCAAGACGGCCTCTGCCATGACCAAGCCGTTGGGGATCACCGCGGTGAGTTGGGCATCACCGTGGTGAGCTGATGGTTGTGTCTGCTCTGCTCTCAGTGTGCACTGTCCAGTGCACTGTGAACATTGACTCTGTCACCCTCCATACTCAGTCTGCACCGCACAGTACACCCTCTGTCCCGTATCCCACTCCTCCCTCCCCCTTTTCCCCCAGGTGCCACCTCGTGCCGTCCCTGCCCTGATGGAGGACGTTCCGCTCAAGAAGATCCGCAATCTGGGCGGCAAACTGGGGCAGGTGCTGTGGGAGGGGTGGGGTGCTGGTGGGGTGAGGTGAGGCGGGAGGGGCGAGGTGGGTGGGTGGGCGGCTTGTGGGGTGAGGAGGGAGGGAGAAGTTGATTGATAGTAGGAGGAGAAATGTGGTGTTATGCTGATTCCCCTGAGTTTTTCTGGCCTGTATTGCGTGTCTCTTGCAGGATTTGCAGGCAATGGGGTGTGCAACCGCAGGCCAGGCACAGGTGCTGGAGCTCCCAGACCTCATAGCCAGGTTCGGGGAAAGGCTTGGGAACTACGTTTGGAGGGCTGTGAGAGGGCTGGATGAAACACCAGGTGTGCCGTCCGCACCCTATTTTCCCCTTCCACTCGTTTCTGCGAGGCAAAATGGATCTGGATCAGTTGGTGTAATTGCGCGTCCTGCATTCCGCTTGTGATTCGACTCAAAAGATTGCTTATGATTTGTCGGTGCACTTGCGCTTCCTGCATTCCCCTGCCTGTGCGTGTGTTGTGCTGATCTGTGTCTCACACACCGCATGCCTTCCCCTCAAACGCCCACCCACCCATCCCCATTCCCTTCCCAACCCTCATTGCGGGGTGCAGTGGAGGAAAAGGGTGTGCCCAAGTCCATGCTTGCAGCCAAGTCCTTCAATGCCACATCATCGTGGGATGACATCTGGTAATTCCACGTCAGCATGGGATGGCATATGGTGATTCCACGTTATTACGAAGTGAGGGGTGTGAGAGCCTGTGGTCAGTAAGGCCACATGATATTCAGTAAGGCCTTTCTTTTTTCACAATAATAATCGCCCTCCCCTCCTTACCATGTCGCCTCTCCTACATAATAGCTTTTGAGTCGACTCAAAAGCTCCCCTCCTTACCATGTCGCCTCTCCCACATGATAGCTTTTGAGTCGACTCAAAAGCTCCCCTCCTTACCATGGCGCCTCTCCCACATGATAGCTTTTGAGTCGACTCAAAAGCTCCCCTCCTTACCATGGCGCCTCTCCCACATGATACGGATACCCCTCTCTTCGTTCCCTTCCCCTCGTTTGTGTCTTCTCACCCACTTGACTTCTTCCCTCTCCTTTCTGCTTTCTTCTCTCCCTCCCCCCCCCCCCCCCCCCCCCCCGCTTTCCCTCCCTGTGGCAGTCGCTGGATGGCCATCCTGGCTCAGGAGCTGTCCTTCCTATGATCTACCTCACCCACTTTACTTCCCCCCGTCTCCGTTCTGGTTCCTCCCCCTTCTCCTCCACCGCTTTCCCTCCCTGTGGCAGTCGCTGGATGGCCATCCTGGCTCAGGAGCTGTACTTCCTATGATCTACCTCACCCACTTTACTTCCCCCCGTCTCCGTTCTGGTTCATCCCCCTTCTCCTCCACCGCTTTCCCTCCCTGTGACAGTCGCTGGATTACCATCCTAGCGCAGGAGCTCTCTCTTCGCATGCTCAAGGACGCAAAGGACAACAAACGCCGCCCGCGCTCCCTGCACCTGCACTATAGGGGCGGCAGTGACGGTGGCGGTGGCAGTGGTGGGTGGGGAGGAGGGGGAGGAGGGGAGAAGTCAAGGTCATGTGGCATGCCTCGAGACATAGAGAGGGTGATTGAGGGGTTTGTGGACCGATGGTGCAGGGAAGGGGGGAAGGCGGAGGGAGAGGTGAGGCAGGATGTGAAGGAGGAGGGGACGGAGGAGGGGAGAGAGGAGGAAAGGGAGGAGGGGGACATTGGAGGGAGAGGAGAGATAGTGGAGAGGGCTGAGGAGGGGAAGATTGGAGGGAGAGAAGAGGGAGTGGCGAGGGCTGAGGAGGGGAAGATTGGAGGGAGAGAAGAGGGAGTGGCGAGGGCTGAGGAGGGGAGAGAGGAACTTGGCGAAGAGGCAGAGGGTGGGGACGCTCCCTCAAGGGAGGGAAGGGCGAGAGGAGAGACGGGAGTGGAAGGCGAGCAGGGTATGGGTGTGGGTATGGGAGAGGACGCTGTAGGGGAGGGGTGGATGGAGGAGGAGAGACAGAAGCTGCAGGCGCTGCTGTGTGCTGCGGGCCTCACTCTGCTGGCAGGGGGGTCCAGTCAACCCAGTCAACCTGGTCAACCAAGTCAACAGGGTCAGCAGCAGGGCCAACATCTGCATGCTCAGCCCAGTGAGCAGCAGCAAGGCACGGAGGCCAACAATCCCTCCACCAATCTATCAACGCGCCAGTCCAGCAGTCACCCTCTCCCCGCCCACTTCCCCAGGCCCCTCTCGTGGGCGTGGGCGCCCTGCTCTCGCCTGGCCCTGTCAGCCTCGGGATTCGAGCAGCTGAGAGTGAAGGTGGGTTGGAGAAGGTGAGAGTGAAGGTGGGTTGGAGAAGGTGAGAGTGAAGGTGGGTTGGAGAAGGTGAGAGTGAAGGTGGGTTGGAGAAGGGGAGAGTGAAGGTGGGTTGGAGAAGGTGAGAGTGAAGGTGGGTTGGAGAAGGTGAGAGTGAAGGTGGGTTGGAGAAGGTGAGAGTGAAGGTGGGTTGGAGAAGCTGAGAGTGAAGGTGGGTTTGAGAATCAGATAGGCACCGCACCTCCCAAGTGGTCACCCTCCCTGCTTGCTCATAGCCATACATGAGTAAACTGTTTCCAGTTTCACCCCGAAGCAAACTGTTTTAAAACGCTCAGCACTCTCGATTGTGTCTTATTCTAATTCGTCCCAATCCGTATCTTTTTTCCATCCCATGCACCCCGCACGCACACACACACACACACACACACACACACACGCACGCACGCACGCACGCACGCACACACACACACGCACGCACGCACGCACGCACACACGCACGCACGCACACACACACGCACGCACGCAAGCACACACCGCACGCACGCACGCACGCACACACGCACGCACGCACGCACGCACGCACGCACGCACGCACGCACGCACGCACGCACGCACGCACGCACGCACGCACGCACACACGCACGCACACACGCACGAACACCAGGGCATGCAATCCATCGATCAGATGTTCTCCCGTCGAACAGCACGCTCAGCTGCTGCCCGCCATGCACCGCCCACACCTGCTCCCAGCCATGCCACTCTTCCATGCCATGCCGCCCTGCCATGCCATGCAAGCACTGCAAGCATAGCAGCAGCTGATGCGTCAGGCCATGGTGTGCCCGTTGCACGCGGCCCAGCACATGGCACAGCAGCACTTCGTGACTCGTCGTCCCCTTTGCTGAGAGCTTTCAGTCGAGGCTCTGCTTTAAGAAGTGAGGCCCATAGCCAGGGAGAGGAGGTGGGGCAAGGAGAGGCGGACAGGCAAGGAGAAGCAAACAGGCAAGGAGGGGCGGAGAAACAAGGAGATGTGGAACGAGAGCTGGTGGAAGAGGGCGGATGGGAGGTCAAGGAGAGGGCGGACATGGGTGGGGTAGGGGTGATGAAACGAGGAGGGGAAGAAGGGGAGCGAAGTGAGGGAGAGGAGGGTTTTGAAGGAGTGGGGCGGCGTGAGAGTAAGAAATTAAGAATAGAAGAGCAAGGCAAGGCTTGTAGTGAAGAGGAGAAGGGAACAGAGGAGCGGGGCTCTAAAAAGCGGGGGATTGGGGAGCAAGGGACAGGGGAACGGACAGATTCAAGAAGAAGGAAATTAGTGGGCCGGGGAAGAGGAGGGAGAAGAGTGAGGGACAGCAGAGGACGGCTGGGTTCACACAGCAAGAGGGGTGCTGTTGAAGGGGCTCTAGTGAGAATGCTGGGTCAGAGGCGAGTGAGGAATGAGCACACAAGCATGGAAGATTTGGATTTGGGTGACAGCCTGTCTCGAAAGGCGAATAGTATGAGTGGAGAAGGGGGAGTGGTGGGAGGCGGCGTGGATGCGGTGGGAGGGGGTCTTGCTCGCCCAGCAGTAGATGATGGTGAGGCAAGGGATTTACGGGCGAGAGGAGGAGGACAAACGCCAGGTGCACTGGGAGGGGTGCAGAGTGATGCTGACGAGGCGGAGGAAGGGGCAGAGAAGGAGGTGAGGAGTGAGGGTGGGGAACATGGAGATGCGTCAGTGCAAAAGAGGAGGAGAGTTGGTGCCACCGCTGGACAGGAATCAAGGGCTTTCTCGACAATGCGAGTCACTGGCGAGCGTGGTATCACAGGCGATGGTGGTGCCACAGGCGTTGGTGGTGCCACAGGCGATGGTGGTCGGGTCAGTTTGAAGAGGGGGCGTGTGGGGGGTGAGAGGGACGGGAGTGGTGTGAGGGAGGATGACTTGGAAGCAGAGAGGTTAGGGAGGGGCAGTGCTGTACAGGGAGATGTGGTTGCAATGACGGAGGGAGAGGTGGGGGAAGAGAGGGACGAGGGCAGAGGAGAGGGTACGGTGGAGATAGAGAGGGAGGTCGGCAGGGGAGAAAGGGAGAGAGGCGAGGGGGCAGGTGTTGCGGCTGGAGATGGTGCAGTGCGGCACTGTGAGAGAGATGATGGGGGCGTGGGAGTGTGTGCGAGGGTGTGTGATGGGAAGAGGGGGGATGATGGGGTGGTTGGAGTGGGAGAATTGGATGAGTGGGATGAAGGGGTGAAGCACGATAATGTTGCTCGGGTACAAGGCGTTAATAGGGGTGGGGATGATGGGAACAATGGTGATGGTGCCGATGAGAGACAAGAGGAGGATTCACAGCAGCACACAGACGTTCGGTATGGCAGGCTCTTCGGATGCAAACCCAGTATGGCAACCTCGGCATCCGAAGAGCCTGCTTTGCGTTCTGAGTTCAATGAGCCATCCGGTTCGGCCTTGGGAAGATCTCACTCTGCCAGTTCATCTGGATTTGATTTCTCAACTGTGGATGTCAAGCAACAGCAGCGAATGATGGCGTGCTTCTCTCGACAACGTATAAAATCGTCGCCAGAGCCCGTGGAGAGGAAGGGAGCTCTGGGTGGTTGGAAAAAGAAGCGTGGTGTCAAGAAGAGTGGAGTCGGAAGGAATAACAGTAGAACGGACAAGGGGAAGCAAGCAAATCAGCAGAAGATAGGGAATTTCTTTCGCACTGGATCCTAAGGGAGAACAAACGTGACCTCTTGTGAATGAGGCTCTCAAATTGATAATGAGAAATTGCTTATACCGCGTATAGGAGCATGCACCAATCTATCGTGGTCCTGACTTGAGTCCTGACAGGGCACGTTGACGTGGCATGGGGCTGTCAACCAATGAATGTTGCGCTCACCTCATCGCAGAAACAACACCGTGCAACGCAGTGATTTCTTTCTACCACGAACGCTGGCCTCAATTTCGTGAACATTCGCTTACCTGACAACATCTGTATCTCAGGACGAGCACTTTGTTCGCGAAACAAGAGCCTGATTTCGCACCAGGCATGCGAATTATTCGAAGGCAAGAGAAAGTGGCAGTCTGCTACTCGTGGCAGAGCAGAAGCAGAATGAAGATATACTATTTTACGGGGTGAATGTGCTGTGGCAATGGTTGTTATCCAGACCATCGACGCACGCCGAGATAGCTCTTTTTCCCCTGAAAGCGGACAAGTCGTCAGTCTAGAATCTATTAAGAAGAACGCAAAAACCGCGGGTTCTTTTTGTCATTTTCGTGCCCCCGCAAGTTTTGATTAGGATATGGCGGACCGGCATGGTCTCGTTAGACCAGTATATCGTGCTCTAGTCGCGGCGACGAAACGGCTCGCATCGGAAATAGAACGGCACAAGACAACCGACGTCTTCTCTCTGGTTCGTGCCTGTGGAAGTAAAGACGTATCCCTACGTCGTCTCGTTATGTGATTTCTTGGACCGAGAATGTCAAAGTTGGTGCTCTCAAATTCTGTCTGTCGTGGTTATGTGGTTTTAATACAATGCTTGGCTATCTGGTTCTATAGTATTTCCTGGCAATCGCTTGCTTTTTCTCCACTCCTTATCGCTCCATCCCCGTGTTACATGGCAGTCCGAGGTTTCATGGCTGCAGGACAACACGCCAGGCGCGTTAAGAGCCATCAAGCGAGGGAGGGACGCTTCCTTGGCTCTGCTAAGGCAGGAATTTCGAATGCCGCTTACAGGAGAGCCAGGCTCCGTGCAAGCCCAAGTAAGTACTAAGTACAAGTTGCCTAGGTTGAGACCTTTCTGCTTACCTTATGCGGAACAGCTTCATACCGAACAGCTTCATGCTGCTTACTTACGGCATGAAAAGTACCTCTCACCCTCATCATTCCCTTTTTTCGATGTTTGCCGCTAATCTTCCGGGAATGTTGACAGGAGGACTGGGGTCAACGTCTGGATCAAGCCCTTTCGTTGCTTGCTGTGTTGAATCGACGGCTGGCAGTGCTTCAGACACACTCTGCCTCTGATCACAGCGACAACCTGAGCCATGGTGTCCGAGTGGAAGTGCAGAGCAAGTTTCAAGTCATGGACCAGATACATTTCGGCGCTCTGTACCATTACCGTGTAAGCATTCCTTTACTCCCCCTCCCCCCCTTCTCCTCCCCCTTCGTTCCCCCGCCTCCCTCAGCCTCTCCCATCCTTCCAAGTCACCCTTCCACACACCCTCAACCCCCCACTCAACTTCATGTCTGCTTGTGTCCGTGTTGCACAAACACCAAGCTTTTCCGTTCTGTTTCCACTCTCCAGGTCCGCATTCGCAATGAGGGAGTGAATGAGCCGGTGCAGCTTGTAAGCAGGCAGTGGGTTATAAAGGACTTCGATGGGAACATACAGGAGGTCAGTTATGTTGCTGCTTGAGAAGTTGTGAGTATAGTCTGTGCATGTGAGCAGTGGGAGTTGAGGTTGAGCATTGTGCCTTAGCACCAGAAAAAAACATTGATTTTGGATGGCTGCATCAGGATAATGGACCCCTGGCACCCGTTTCCTGTTCTTCCATTCCTGGTCACAGGTTATTGGTCCTGGCGTTATTGGCAAGCAACCCATCTTGGATCTTGGCTCGGAATTTGAGTACATCAGCTACACTCCCTTGCCTTCAAAGCGAGGCACGATGCATGGAAGTTTTCTTATGCTTGCATGCAACTCCAACCGGCTATTCGATGTGCAAGTGGGACCCTTTGGGCTCATTCCTCCTCCACGTCCCCACAACGCCTTGGGCGTTGTGCAAGGCCAATCTGTAACAGAGTAGGTATTATTGCATTTTTTTTGTACAGTTTTTATGCCTTCTGTTTTGCTAATATATACTACTTGGTAATTTGCCGTATGTTCTCAGCAAATAACACCAGCTGCTGCTAGAACTGTAGTGGAAAAGACTGCTCATGTATACTGAACATTCTCAGGTCAAATGGTTCCTCCTGAACTGAAGAGGGAATGAAGGGTAGGGACAAATTTCAGTTCCGGAACTCCCGAGGTTTGACCTTGGGATATTCTGCAATTCAGAAAATAAACCGCTCGAAAGTTCACAGCATCCTACACCACCGCTTCTGACCAATGTCAAACGGAAGTGAACGATGTCTGACCAGCACAAAGACATGCTGTTTCGAGACAAGGTATCTGTTCTTCAGGGCGTGTCCAGCACGTACGTTTCCGTACATTACAGTTCATTCAGTGCGGTAATCTGTATTGCGTCACGGTTCATGACGGTGCGATTTCAGAACCGTTGTTCACCGTTTGATATCTTTCCAAATCACGACGGATGAACTGTATAGAACCTTTAAACGTACGCGCTGGACCCGCCCTCAGTCGCACCCATCATTGTTTTCCCAACACCAGAAAATCTGCACATTTCTTAGTCAGGTTTCTGTAGTGTCAAGTACTTCCCACCATATCGTAGCCGTTCTCCCTAAACAATGTCTCAAGTCCGCGCTTCTCACATTCTTATCAAGCACCAAGGCTCTCGCCGTCCAGCATCTTGGAAGGATCCCAATGGAGAGACAATAGGGCGAACGACGAAGGACGCGGCGATTCAGCAGCTGCTGGTGATTAGAGAACGCATCGCCAGTGGCGAGCTGGACTTCGGCCAGGTCGCGAAGACTGAATCGCATTGCAGCTCCGCCAGAAACAATGGAGATCTGGGTACGTCAGTTGCGTCGGAGTACACCGCGGGTTCGTTAAGAATGAAATATACCACGAGTTAGACTACGAATTAGACACCATGATAACGTCTTAATCTGTCGATGTTCCTTCGTATTCCGACATTAGTGCAGTCGCTAATTATAGCAGCTGCGTACGCTATGACCTTAGGAATGAGCGAAACTGATGGAACCACAGGTGTTGTCTAGTGCTGCCTAGACATCTCGACCGTCCTCTTTTCAGATTTCTTTCTCCATTTCTTCCTCATCCCCTTCTCTTCACCTCCGATCCCTCGTTTCAGGCTGGTTCAGCCGAGGCCAGATGCAGAGACCGTTTGAGGAAGCGACGTTTGGGATCAATGTGGGGGAGATGAGCGGCATTGTGGACACGGACAGCGGAGTGCACATCATCCTGCGCACTGGATAAAGCACCAGCTGCAGCCGTTTATATTTTGGATGTGGATGTGCCATTAGCTGCCTCTGGGGGGACTAGACAAACATTGTATTTTTGGCTGGGAAACTGAGCTGCTCTGGTAACCAGTGTGGATGCTAGCCATTCTAGTGCATTCATTTGCTTGTATGGTACGCACATCTGATTCTATGCTCTGCGTGCAGGATGATTGAAGTTACAGGGAAAACACTCACAAGGGATTGACCAACAATGGCAAGCAAGGTTCTTTGATTCACTGTTAATACCAACTGGGTTCCAGCAAGTATCTCACGCACACACATACACGCACACACACATACCGTACACACTCTGGATCCTGAATCTGGTTACAGCATGACAGCCATGAAGCAAGGAGCCAAAGAGTGACCCATGAGGGCAACGTAGCACCCAGTGCGCTTTACCAGGCCAACAGAACCCCACTATTATTTCAACAGCACCAGCAGCTTCAGCAGCATCACCAGCACCAGCAGCTGAATGTGTGAAAGCTGAATGCTCTGGTTTCTTCCTGTCTGTCTCAACCGCAGCTCCCCCTAGCTTCACTCAAAGCTCGAAGCACTCATGGTGGCAGAAGGCGCAGAGGCTTGGGATGCTCCCGCCTCTACATCTCGCTTGCTAGTTGTCCCCCCTTTGTGGCCACTGGTGTGTGCATGCACACGGGTGTGGCTATGGCTGTGGCTGCTGCTGCTGCTGTGGGGATGGCTGCTGTTGTGGGGATGATGACGGTGGGGCCTGGCTGCACTTTCCCCTGCAACACAAGCAACACCAGCACGAGGACCACCAGCACCAGAAACAGAGCGTCTGACCTCTGAAGCACGACCAGCAACACCACCATTGGCCTTACTCCCACCCTCCACTCGCCTGCCATCCCCATGTCCCCTCTGCCTCGCATGCATCTCATGCCCCTCCTGCCGCTCCTTCCTTGAACCACCACTCCGTAGCTTCCTCCCCCCAGCCCCTTTTGTATCCCCTCCACCCTCTCCTCCCTCCCTCCTCTCCTTCCTCTCCCTGCCTCCTGCAGTGTCTCCTCCACCCTCCCCTCCCTCCCTCCTCTCCTTTCTCGACCCTGCTGTGTGCAGCTTCCTCTCCCTGCCCCCTGCTGTGTCCCCTCCACCCTCTCCTCCCTCCCTTCTCTCTTTCCTAGAGCCAGCAGAGCGCAGTTTCCTCTCAACTCGTTCCTCCTCGCTCTCCTTCCCCTCTCGTCCTTCACGCCTCTCCTTCCGAGACCCGGCTGTACGCAATTCCCTCCCCACCTCTCCCGCTATCCCCTTTTCCCTCTCGCTCCGCTCCCTCCTCTCTGTCCGTGATCCTGCACTGTGCAGCTTCCGCTCTCCCTTTGCTCCATTCTCATTAACCCCTCCTTTTGCAATCTGCCCTCTTGCTTTCACATCCACCTGCCTTGGCTGCACTGCCTCCCCTGTCCTGCTTGCCCGTGACCCTCCTGCTTCACCGTCTGGCAAGTCCAGATTCTTTGTCCCTCCCTCATCCTCACTCGTCTGGCATTCCCTAGCTCTTTCAAAGCTACTGCTCCTGCCCCTGCTCCTACTGGTGCTTCTGCTTCTGCTTCTGCTTCGGCTTCTGTTCCTGCTGCTCTCCCCACTTCTATCCCTGCTGCCGCTCCTGCTCCTGCCCCTACTGCTGCTCCTGCTCGTGCTCCCCCTCCTACTATCACTTCTGCTCCTGCTCCTGCTCCTGCTCCTGCTGTCACTCCTGCGCCGTCTATACCCATCGCTAGCACTGCTCGGGCTCAGGCTCCCGCGTCTGCTCCTGCTCCTGCTGCGGCTGTGGCTAACGCTGCGGCTTCGACTGCTGCGTTGGCTGGGGCTGGCACTGCGCTCTGAATGGCTGCTGCTAGACCGTCTGCGGTGGCTTCGCCTGCTTCGGGCCCTGCTTGACGATTTCTCCCTTGACGAATGGCTGCGGAAGCTGCTTTGAGAACCACTGCAGGATCTGCTATGGGATCTGCTACGAGACTTGCTACGGGACCTGCTACGGGAGGTGTTCCCAGATACGCTTGGTGATAGGCTTCTGCTTCGGGACTGGCTGGTGTACGACCTGCTTCTGGACCTGCTTCCGGACCTGCTTACGGACCTGCTTCTAGACCTGCTTCCGGACCTGCTTCGCGATCTGCTTCGGGAGTCGCTCTGACTCCTACTGCTACCTCCCACCCTACGATACCGCCGATGGCTCCTCCTCCTCCTTCCTCGTTTCGAGGACCGCTGCACGTCCCTCTCCTCCACCTCACTCGCACTCGCCGTAAGACTCTCTCTATCACTCCCTACCCTCGGCTTTCGCTCGTCCTTCTCCTTCCACCGCGATCGCCTGCCCTTGCTCTTCCTCTGCTCGGTATCTCTCTCCCTTGAGCTGTCTTTGCGCCGCGACCTGCTGCTGTTGCTGCTGCTGCTCCTGGAGCTGCTTCTCCTGTGTCCCCTGCTCCCCCTCCTTTCCCTGCCTCCTCTGCCACTCTCCCGTTCGCTGCTGCTGACACTCCTCCTCCTCCCGCTCCTCCTCTCCCTCCTCTCCCTATCCATCTCGCTGTGGCTATCACTATCCGTCTGCCTCTGAAGGTCCTTCACTCGCTCCTCTCCCCGCCTCCTCCCCTTCCCACTCCCCTCCCTCCTCCCACCAGCATCTTCCACCAATTCCTTCATCTGCTTCTCTCCAGCCCTTTTCTTCTCCATTACTTCGCCTCCACCTCCTCTTCCTGCTCCTGCTCTCCCCCCTCTCTCTACCCCATCCTCCCCTTCATTGTGTGCCACACTCAGTCTGCTTGGCCCACCACAGACATAAATCCCTTCTGCTCTCTTCGAATGAGCCCGACCAGCAGCACCAACAGCAGAATGCGCAGCAGAAGCAATACCAGAAGCAGGGGAGCTGGCACCACTGCTGGCAGCGCTGCCCGTGCTGCTGTTATAGCTAGTCGCACGCCCCACAGGGTGACTCACCCGATTCAACGCATTCGACCCAGCAGAACCCAGCGACAAACCTCTAAACCCTCCCACCATCTGAACCTCAGCAGCATTGAAGTAGCCAGCACTGGCACCACCACCAGCAGCAGCACCAACACCAACAGCATGAGGAGCAGCAGAGAAGGGTCCAGACGCACTGTGATCAAACCACTCATTCTCAGTGCGCCTCTCGATAAAACTCCCCGACCGCAGCGCGTACCGCCTCCTCCCTCCCTGCTCCCCATCCGGGGGACTCCCCCTCCACTGGCCATACCCACTCTGAAACCCCCCTCCCCCTGCTCCCCCTCCTCCCCCTCCCCCTATCCCTCCCCCGCCACCCACTCCTCCTCCTAGCGCAAACTCCTCCATGCCTTCCCCCCCCACGCGCATGCTCCGCTCCACAAAGCTGCCAAAGCGCCGGTCGATGCCAAACATGGACCTAGCACCCATTGGCCCTCGTGTGGGCCCGGGAGAGTGGGCAGGGCTGCCGAGGGAGCGAGTGGGGCTGTTGAAGGAGCGCGTGGGACTGGCGAAGAAGGGGTGCAGGGCGGACGTGGATGCTGATAGAGGGAAGGCTAGTCCCCTGGGGCTGCGGGGAGGCATGCCCCCGCCCGCTGCCGCTCCTCCTGCCGCTCCTACTGCTGCCCCTCCTGCTGCTCCTCCTGCTCCTGCTGCTGCCATGCCTGTGCCGTGCCGGGGGTTGGCAAGAGGAACGCCTCTAGGGCTCACAGGCACCACGCTCGACTGCCGCTGCTGCTGCTGTGGCCCTCCTGAATGCGGCCCTCCTGAATGCGGCCCTGTTACCCCTGCGTGCGACCCGTATCCTCCTGCGTGACCACCCCCTTGCTGCACTCCGCCCTGCCTTGCACTGCCTGCTCTTGCAAAACCATCCATGCGAGGGCTGCGGGGACCCACCATGGACGCCTGTGGACCGTGTATCCCCTGCGTGCCATGTGCGCCTGAGAATCCCACACTCGCACTCTCATAGAACCCCCCGAATTCTGACCCAGAACCAGCCACTGCGCCAGCCTTTCCTGCTCCACCCACCACAGACCCTGTCGCACCTCCCATCCCCCCTCCCATTCCCCCGCCTGCGCCCCTCCCCATCCCTTTCATCACATGCGCGCCTGCCTGCTTGTATGGGCCGTCAGATGATTGAAGATGCACCCCCTGCCCGCCTCCCTGCACACTTGTGAAAACCACATCTGATTGTGTGCGTCTGTGCCGCTGTGCTGCTGCCCCTCCCGTTCCCGCTCCCCCCAAACCTCGCCCCACCATACCAACTACTCCTCCTCGGCCAACTGAGCCCCTGCCTGCCCCTGCCATCGGTTCCCTTCCTCTTCCCCTACCCGCTGCCCTTCCTCCTCCCCATCCCACTCCACTCGCCCCACGGCCATACCCCTCAGAGGCAGCAGACCGACCTCCCCCAATGACACCTCCCCCGGTTTCACCTCCCTCCGCGGACAGAGACCTGGACTGAACGGCGTGGAGGGGAGTGGCCATAGCTGCCTCCCCGTGGTCATCATTATCTGAGTCATCATCTGAGTCATTATCTGATAAGCTACCGTGCCGGTCCAGAGATAAGTGGTCGTACCTGCCTTGCTGTTGCTTCTGCTGCTGCCACTGCTGCTGCTGCTGCTGCTGCTGCTGCTGCTGCTGCTGCTGCTGCTGCTGCTGCTGCTGCTGCTGCTGCTGCTGCTGCTGCTGCTGCTGCTGCTGCTGCTGCTGCTGCTGCTGCTGCTGCTGCTGCTGCTGTTGGTGCTGTTGGTGCTGATGCTGGTGGTAACCCTGCTGTATTGGCGATGCGCTGCTGGGTCGACGCATCTGCCCCTGCATTACACCCTTGCTCTTCACCACCTGCTGCTGCGATTGCGACTGCGACTGAGGATACGCTGCTATCCCATACGCACCAGGAGCCCCTCCTGCTGCTCTCATCCCACCAGAAGCAGCAGCAGTAGAGCCAGAAGCGCCTGCAGCAGAAGAAGCAGCAGCAGGGGCGGCGAATGCGGGCCTGGCGGCAGCAGCAGCAGCAGGCACGAGGTTCTCAGGGGGGGTGGAAGCTGTCCTGCGATGCACCGGCCTCCTGGGCGACTGCTGCTGCAGCGGCTGCTGCAAGTGCTGCTGCTGCTGCAGGTGCTGCACTTGCAGGTGTTGGTGCGGCTGCAGCTGCTGCTGGGCTGCCACAGCACCGCCCATGCCGCCCCCCACAACGCCCCCCTCCACATCCTGCCCTTCCATCTCATGCTCTTCGATGCCCATCCCCGCCCCCATCCCCCCTACCCCTATCCCGGCCCGCATCCCGCTACTAGGGCTTCCCCCTCCCCCTGCGCCGCCCCCAGGGGGGGCTTGGCTGGGGAGGGGCGTGGTGTTGCTTCGCGGAAACGACCCGGGCGTGGGTTTATTGGGACTTTCTCCCCGTGGCCCGTCGAAGGAAATGCTTCGGTTCGACTGCCACGGTGCTGCCCCACCCAACTGGCTCGGTGCCGCACCTGGCAAGTGGTTCGGGGACCCCGAACCAGGCCCGCCGATGCCTATCCCTGCATGTCTCACTGGGTCCATTCCTGCCGACCCAAAAGGCCCCGAAGCCGAGCTTCCGGTATGGGGCCGAGCCTGAGGTCCTCTCCCTGCGACCATGGCTTGCGCCCTCCCCATCCTCCCCCCAGCTCCCCCTCCGCACGACATTCCTATATACTGCGGAGCTCCGCGCGGAGACACCGCGATATGACTGCCCCCTGCGCCCCTGCCACGACCGGGTCGGGCATTGCCCGAGGGCGCGCCAGCAGCGGTGGCGGAACCCGCGCCAACCCCCCGCGCAAGCTCTTCCGCCATCACAGCAGTTCCGCCCGCATCCATCCCCATGTCCCAGCCATTCCCATCCGAGCCGCCTCCCTGGAACGCGCCAACGGCGCTGACGGACATTGCGCGCCGATGCTGATGTGGCCTCTGCTGTCGTGCCTGCGGTGGCGGTTGCTGCTGCTGCGGAATCATCCCTGCTGATTGCGCGCCTTCCCACCTGCCATACTCATCCCCAACACCGCCAGTTCTTGCGCCATACCTTCCGCCAACAAGCCCGCCTCCCCCGCGCCTTGCCCAGCCCCCGCCCCGTTGAGTTGCCGGACTGCCGCGGCTGGCGTCGGGAAGCATGCGATCTGGGGGAGAGCGACGAGGTTCGGTTTCGAATCCTGCTGTCGGGTATTCCATAGAGCCTGTTGGAGCACCCGATATAACATCGTACGTTGAAGTTACAAGCCGTTGCTGTGAAGCGGGATAAGGTAAACCGCCAGCGCTAGCACTGGCGAGACCATTAGGGTTAGCAAAGTTGTCAGAAGTGGACAACGTGTGATGTTCTGGAGATGATCGCCTAGCGACGGGAATGGCCCCTGCCACGTCGCTCGCGATAGAGTCGGCGAAATTATCAGGCGATTGTCGGTTACTGGACATCTTTTACGCATGCATGAAAATTGTTACAGCATTTTACGAGAAAATGGCCTAAACCCGCGACACCGGCGAGGACGGCGTTCAGTCAACTATAAATAAGAGTCAGTGTGGATAAGATGAGGTGGAGGAAGGATAGTCACGATGTGAGCACGGCAGTGTGCTTGTGGTGGTTGCATTGCGAGGAGGGAATATCGCTGGGTGGAGGGTTCGGGGTTGGTGTTCATTGCTGTCATCGCACAATGCCGTCGGTGATGCAGTACAGAATCTTTGTGCGACCTGTGCGACGATATTCCCTAATTGGTTGGTTGGCGGGCAGGGCACATCGTGATTTACTTCGCCTAATACGGTTCACTCTGGTATCTCGTGGTTTCTATCTGTTACACCGTGCTAATGTTCTTGATTTACCCCGTGAACGAAGTGCTTCTTCTTGGCATATTATGGATGTACAATTAGATTGAATTGATGACATGCTTTATCCGTATCAAAACGTCATAGGCTAAAAAGAATCGTCTATTGCCGAGGATTTTCAGCTCACGAACACCCTGACAAAAGCCTGACCCCTCACGCCTCTCCAAGTCCCGGCAGTTCACCATAGCCCCGCTGACTGGCTAGACTAGGCTGTGAAGGCGTTTCTCCAGCCAATGGTGTTGGACCCCGTCTGACTCGTGTCGCCTCCGTCTTCAGCGAAACAATTTTTGTGTGCACCCACACGCAACCAAACCAACCACAAGGCTTGTTTCCTGGTCAAGGGAACCGAAAGTTCGGTAATCACGCTAATTAGCAGGGCAAGTCCTAGGAAATGCAGTGTTACGTAATATCTGAATTAAAGACTCGAGATATAAATTGGACCTTATGTTCGTGGGAATGTCAGTGGAACAATGGTGGAGCTGCATGTTTGATAGCTCCGTATACTTCAAGGGGTTCAAATGGCCTCTTGGGTTTAGGATATTCGAAACTGTGGGCATTGGAATGGTGGGTCAGAAGAAGCGCCTCGATAGGGATGGAGAAGGCGCTTCGATTTGTGTACATATTCCACACTGTCGAACTGACAGAGGCAGTAGCAGGCACCATCCTGTCTCGGTCATGCCTTCCCTCCCCCACCTGACCCAACTTCCGTGCAACCTTCATCGCGCCTCCATGTTTCCTCGAGCCATTTCTTCAAGCACCACCAGGTAGTCAAACAGCAAGCTGAATTCATCAAGCCCTAGGTAGTCAAATAGCCAGGCAGAGTCGGTGGCCTTCACTTCGAATTCCGAATTCCTCAGCCTCAAATTCCACTGACGCAATTACCTCTCTGTCAGTCCACCAGGACGAGACGCACGTGCCAACCATTTTCTCACGACAGTTCCTACACTACTCTCCGCTTTCAGTTATTACTCACCATGCCGCGACGTTCGGCCCATTGTCTCGCCTCACTCCTCTTCCTCTGCGCATTCATCTGCCTCATCTCTGCCAAATCTCAACCACAACGCGACACGCACGCACACCGACGACGTGACGGGTTACAAACATCTCGTCCTTCTTCGCAACAACGGGCCGTCCTAGTAGATACCCCTTTCATAGTGCGCGCCGAGCCGGTCCCTAAACGCATCCTTAGAGTCGTATCGCCGGAATTCGCGCATGTAGGGCGGCGGAGACTGGGAGCAGAGAACACGGCGGCGGAAAGGAAAGAGAGTGGCGAGACGTGGACGGAAGCGGAGGAGCATGCTCTCGTCATTCCCAAGGGCGTGGCGTTCTATCACCGGGGGAAAAACAGCGGCGGGGGTGGGGGAAGCGGAGGGGCGGGGACTAGACTAGCCTCGCCGATCGATATCACACCGGAGAAAGGCGGGCGCGGGAAGCGAGGGGGTCAGGCTTCAGACAAGAGCGGCGCGGGGAAGTTTCCCGTGATTACCCCGGGGGGCAAAAATTCGACGGGCAGCGGCGGCGGTGGCACCGGCGGAGGGGGGATTCCGCCGAAGAAGAAGCGGGGCGGGCCGAACGGCGGATGGACACTCGGGAAGGAGCGGAGAGTTTCGTTATCGTCCGCGCAAGAGATGAAATTCGGCAACGGTCAGTTCGGAAAAGGCGGGAAAGTGACGTACCATGGCGGCCCGGTAATGACCAAGTCGCCGATTAAAGTGTACCTCATTTTCTATGGCGACTGGGACGCGACGACGGTGCAGCTGTTTCACAAGTTCGTCGACTCTATATCGGGGAAATATAAGACGCCGGCTGACCGTTACAATGTGACGCGCTGGTGGGGTCTGACGGCGGCCGGCACGCAGGCGGACGGCAAGCGCGTGAGCTCGAACGTGGCGCTGGGGAAGTCGGTTCTGGATAGGAACTACGTGTCGGGCGGCGGGAAGGTTCTGCGCAACTACCAGAAGGACGTTGTAGCCAGTAAGTCGCTTTCTTCAATGTTGTAAATAGTGAACGAATTCGACCACCACTTTGCCTCATCATGCCTGGTCCCAACACCTACCCCTCTATGTTTCACTTAACCCCGCCTCATCGTGCCTCCGCCTTTCACCTTCCCCGTCCCCGCCCACCCCTCTGCAGTCATCAACTACCATCTACGGAGCAAGTTGCTGCCCTTCGACACGGACGGCATCTACATGGTCATGACGGATCCGACGGTGGAGGTGAAGAGCAGCGATCCCAGGGACGGATTCTGCACGCGATTCTGCGGTTACCACAGCTACGGCCAGGACGCGCTCGGCAAGGCTCTCAAGTTTGGCTTCGCGGGACACTCTGCTCGCTGCCCCTCGCAGTGCACCCGCCCGCTCCCCTAGTGAGTGACTTGCTACAATGCCCTTGACTGGACTGCCGCCATGATGAGTGACTCACTGCATTGTACCGGAAATACGTTTGCTCGACTACTCACTTGCAATGCCTGTGGCCCATTTCCAGTGCAGCCTCTTGCTGCATATGCTCTAGATCGTTTGTTTGGAAGTGTCGCCTCTTCATGCATATACGGCAACCGCCTTAGAGTACCAGACATCTACGAGGGGGTTGCACGACAGAAACAGCACTGATCTTGTTTCACGGACTCATATTTTTTTCTCTTCGTCTCATATTTGTTCTTCCCAACCTTGCAGCGATACATTCAACGGTATCAATGTCGACGCGACTTTATCCACATTCGCCCATGAGATAGCGGAGGTAGCCCAGGACCCACTTTTCACAGCGTGGTATGACCATGATCAGGTGGAGGGAGCGGACAAGTGCACTTACATCTATGGGGATGGATGGGTGAATCCTCGGAATTCAGCGGCTTATAACCTCATGGGCCGGAGAGGGTCGAGGTTTTTGATCCAATCAATGTGGAGCCTTCATAAACAAATGTGTGTACAATAGATTACCAAGGCTCCTACACTGATTTCTGACCATTTTTGTTTTCCCCCTATTTTGTATAATCCTGGAATGGTATGTGTATGTTGTTTTTCAAATCAAATACCGGTAGATGAATGATGATTGTTGGAGTTACCTTAAGCTGTGTTTAAAACTTCACAATGAGTCTGCTAACAGATAGTTATACATTCTCTTGTATCAGTGCAGTTCGAAATTGATGTCAGAACGAGTCAGTGCCACGTCAGAAATTCACTCACCCTTCGCAATGCCTACACCGTGACATCCTAGAGAATGCGCAACAGGCGAGTAGAGTTCGAGGCGGGTTGGGAAGCGAAGCACCAGCGAACTATGTATGTCTCGAGCCTGACCTGAACTCTCCGAAATGTCGTAAAATTGCGCGTCTCCGATTTTCATACAAGTGGTTCAGTCCAGTCCGATTCGCAGATTACGCAAATCCGCAAGCCCATTTGAAGACGCTTTCCTGGAAAGCTTCGTAGCTACTGTGACAGAAGCTGCCTGCGTCGTCAATAGCCACTGCTCCGACGACCATTGCTGCGTCAAGCCGCTACAGTTGCTATATTGACTTTCCGGAGGAACGAATTCCTACAGCGAGGTTGATAGCCGCCACCCAGAAGCCGCCATGTCAGCACCGCCGCTAGCCTCGTTCGTCTCCGTGCCTCCCAACTGCCACTTCCCGATCCAGAACCTCCCGTACGGCGTCTTCCGGCCCTCGCCGGGAGGTTCGGCACGAGTGGGCGTGGCGATCGGCGAGCAGGTTCTTGACCTTTCGGTGGTGGCGGACGCGGGGCTGCTGGGGGAGGTGGTGAAGGACACGGCCTGCTTCCACCAGGTAGAGTCGCATGGGCGAGAGTGTCGCACAGGCGAGTCGCACAGTAGGCGAGAGGGTCGCACAGGTGAGAGAGTTGCACGTGCGAGTCGCACAGGAGGCGAGAGGGTCGCACAGGGGAGTGAGTTGCGCGGGCGATCGGCGAGCAGGTTCTGGACCTGTCGGTGGTGGCGGACGCGGGGCTGCTGGGCGAAGTGGGCGACTTAGTTAAAGATACGGCCTGCTTTCATCAGGTAGAGTGTGCTGAAATTTTGAACAGGTTGTTATTATATGCCTTCTCAGCACTCACAGCAGGTTCTGGACCTGTCGGTGGTGGCGGACGTGGGCTTTCTGGGCGACGTAGTCAAAGACACAGGCTGCTTCCACCAGGTAGTGTCGCACAGACGAGAGACAGAGTCGCACGGGAGAGTTGCACAGGTGAGAGTGTTGCACGGGCGATCGGCGAGCAGGTTCTGGACCTGTCGGTGGTGGCGGTGGTGGGACCCGCGGGGCTGCTGGGCGAAGTGGGCGACGCTGTTAGGGACATATGCTGCTTCCACCAGGTAGAGTGTCGAACGTGATGCCAGCTCAGAATTGCGTTTCCCGCGATTATAGCTCAGAATTGTGTTTCCCGCGATTATAGCTCAGAATTGCGTTTCCCGCGATTATAGCTCAGAATTGCGTTTCCCGCGATTGTAGCTCGGAATTGCGTTTCCCGCGATTATAGCTCGGAGTTGCGTTTCCCGCGATTATAGCTCAGAATTGCGTTTCCCGCGATTATAGCTCGGAATTGCATATAACAAATGCTGCTTCCACCAGGTAGAGTGTCGAAGGTGATGAACTCCACACACCCCACGCACCTTTTCCCCCATGCCAGGCATCCCTGAATGCGTTCATGGCGCTGGGCCGCCTGCTGTACCGTCTCTCCTCAGCAACACACCTTCCTCTTCCACACTCCACGCACCCCGCACACCCCACGCACCTTTTCCCCCATGCCAGGCATCCCTGAATGCGTTCATGGCGCTGGGCCGCCCCGTGTGGCAACGCACTCGCACTGCCCTCCAGCGCCTGCTCTCTGGTGAAACCACCTGACCAACCACCTGATGCTTCTGATGGAACCACCAGACATACAGCTTGGTGACTTATTGCCATGCAGCGTTGCTTTCCCGTTGTGGTTCTGGTAATGTGCATGTTTCTGTGCCTTGCAAATACATTTGCCGTACATGACCATGACTTGGTGCAATGCATTCCATTCTCACCAGCAGCCCTCCCCGCCTCTTGGCTCATGCATGTGCGTGTACCACATGTGCGTGTACCACATGGCACGCCATCCCTGGCATCAGCTGACGAGCCAGTGCTGAGGGACAACAAGCCTTTGCGTGCCAAGGCCTTCCACCCTCAGGTGCGGTTTCAGGTGCCTTCCACCCTCAGGCGGGGTTTCAGGTTTCCTCCTCCACCCTCAGGTAAGGTCTCAGGTGCCTTGCACCCTCAGGTGCACGCAGATGTTTTGCTTTCTTGTGGAACCAACCAAGCACTGCACCCTCGTCTTTGCCTGTCTGCCCCCCTCTGTCCCCTCCACATCTCCCCTCCTGTACAGTGGTGGGCGAATACAGGAGCGACAACCCAAGCAGCAGCCTCCTTGCTTTTCATGCATCTCTTTCTCAAGCGCCATCTCTCCCTCTCACCCTTGCTCCCCCTCTTCCCCTGTCGCTTGGGCTGCCCTCCTCCCCATCCTCCCCCAAGCCCGTGTGAGCAGGCCCCACATGGAATGGAACTACCAGCAGTGGTGGGTGACCACATTGACTTCTGCGCCTCTCAAACTCGCCATGCTTTTGCCTTCCTATGCTCCTGCCTTGCGTGTCCTCCCTTCCCTCCCAGGCACGTGTGAGCATGGAGATGCCAGCGGTGGTGGGAGATTACACGGACTTCTATGCCTCCCGCCACCACGCCACCAATGTGGGCCGCCTCTTTCGTGGGCCCGGCAATGAGCTGCCCAAGCAGTGGTGAGGGGCAGGGGCAGGGAAGAGGAGGAAGAAGCAGGAGAAGTCGTGATTTCACTGAGTTGGGTGGTGGCTCACTGGTGAGGGATGGCAGCGCACTGGGTGGATGGTGGTGGAGTGGGGTGCAGATTGGTGCTGGGTGGGTGGGACTTGGATCACCTCAACATCCACAGTTGCGCATGTGCTCTCCATTCCACGTTCGCCCCCATGCCTAACCTTCCCTCTGCATGTGCCATGCCATGCTGTGCTTTGGTGTGGTATGGTTTGTTGTGGTATGGCATGGCATGGCATGGCATGGCATGGCATGGCATGGCATGGCCTACCAGGTTGCACATGCCCATTGCATACCACGGCAGGTCGTCATCTGTTGTGGTCTCCGGCACTCCCATCATGCGACCCAGGTGAAAACCACAGTGGCTCAGGTGAAAGATCTCTCAAGTGAAACCCACAGTGGCTAAGCTGAAAGCTCAGTGTCTTAGGTGGAAGAGCAAGAGACGGAACCCACATGCTGTGCACAACAGACTGTGCGCACACATCATCCAGCATCACAATCCATCTCATCAGCAGAAGCTTTGTTTGCTTTTGTTTTCTAACAGCCTGTTTACCACTCCTCCTGCAGGGGTCAGTTGGGGCTGCCTGCCTGCCCCGCCACGCCCCTCGCCCCTCTCTTCGGCCCCACACAGCAGCTTGACTTTGAGCTTGAGATGGTGAGTGGATGGGGCGTGGCGTAGAGCAATTTGAGGCGAGGGTGGGACCTAAAGGGCAGAGTAGAGAGTCAGTGCGTGCAGTGCAAAGCTCAATCGTCTCCTTCACCCACGTGTGCCCATCCGCCCCTTCCCCATCCGCCCCTTCCCCATCCGCCCCTTCCCCGTCCGCCCCTTCCCCATCCGCCCCTTCCCCATCCGCCCCTTCCCCGTCCGCCCCTTCCCCATCCGCCCCTTCCCCATCCGCCCCTTCCCCATCCGCCCCTTCCCCATCCGCCCCTTCCTCATCCGCCCCTTGCCCGCCCACCCCTTGCCCGCCCGCCCACCCCACGTGTCTCAGGCAGTGTTGGTGGGGCCGGGCAATGAGAGGGGCGAGCGCATTACTGTGGAGATTATTTCTCTAGGCGCCTCAAGCATACTACCCTTCCACCCCTTGCCTGCCCACCCCACGTGTCTTAGGCAGTGTTGGTGGGGCCGGGCAATGAGAGGGGCGAGCGCATTCCCGTGGAGAGGGCGCTGGACTGTTGCTTTGGCATGGTGATCTGTAACGACTGGAGTGGTGAGATGTAACGACTGGAGCGGTGAGATGAAACGAGTGGAGCGGTGAGATGAAACTCCAGGAGCGATGAGTTGTAACCATAACACGTGCACAGTGAACATAGCAGCATCTGAGCCCTTTCCTCAGCCGCCCACCCTTGCTCCCACCCAGCTCTCACACTGCTCTCTTCCTTCCACCCTCCCCCTTCTCACACCTGCCTGGCCCCCCTCTTGGGTGCAGCGAGGGACATCCAGCGTTGGGAGTACGTTCCGCTGGGTCCCTTCCTTGGCAAGAACTTCGGTCAGTGGTGGAGGGGGTGGAGACGGGGGAAAATGGGGAGGGGAGAGGAGGGGAGGGGAGGGAGAGGTGTTGCCATGGGATTGGCAAGATGTAGTGCGATTCGCACGTCGTGTGTATCCATGCCTGCATGGTGCATCCACACTCACATCATGCATAAAAGTGGGTGGTCACTTCATCCATCTCCACCCCTTCCCCCCCGCCTTTCATACCATGTGCATGCAGCCACGACCATATCCCCCTGGGTCGCCACCACAAGTGCTCTTCACTCCTGCATCTGCGCCCACCTCCCCACTCCTCCACCGTACCATGTGCATGCAGCCACGACCATATCCCCCTGGGTCGGCACCATGGATGCTATCCGCCCCTCAGGTCCTCGTTATTGCATTGTACGTAATCCAGGACCATCACTCACTCCACTAATTTCCACCCATCTCTCTTCCGCCCACTCCCCCCCCGTACCATGTGCTTACAGCCACGACCATATCCCCCTGGGTCGTCACAATGGATGCTCTTCGCCCCTTTAACTGCTCCCCGCCCCCTCAGGTGCTTCCCATCCCCTCAGGTGCTCTTCTTGCCATTTCCAGCACCAGTTTCAAACCCTTCAAAACTCCTTCTCTTCAACCTATTCTCTATTTCTTTTTCTTGAATATGATTGGATCTATTTCCTTGGCTTTTAAAATGCAAAACTCTATTACCTTGCCTTTGAAATTGCAAATTTTCATTTACTAGTAACATGCTCTACCACACTCCCATACAGCGTGATTGCTTTTTTTCTGCTTCCCCCTTGCTGCATAACCCCTGTCGCTGTCACCGCTCCCCACCGCACCAACTATGCTGCCCACCCTACCGATCGCCCCCCCACCGCACAGGATCCAGAGCCTCTGCCATACCTCCAGGAGCCCAACCCGACCACCTTCGACATTCACCTGCAGGCAAGCACTGCTTAGGGAGGAAAAGGGGAGAGAGGGGAGAGGGAGAGACGGTGTGTGGGTTCTGTCTATCTTGTCTGCATCTTCTTAAGTATGCTACCACCAGTCGTCATCACCTCCTCTTCACCCCTTCCTCCCGTCTGCCTGTTCTCTGCCATCCCATCCCCACAGGTCTCCCTTGCTCCCTCCGCTCCTCCCTCCCCTGCTCACCCCACCACCACATCACATCCTCCTACCTCCCCACCATCAGTGCCCCCAGCAACCATCATGTCCAACACAGCAGACTTCCCTTCATCCACCCCTCCGCCTGTGCCTCCGTGCCCGCACGCCCTGCTCTCCCCTGAGACTCTGGATTCCTCTCCCTCTACCGCTGGGGATGCTTCACTGTCCCAGAGGCTGCCGCCTGTCCCCGTGTGCCGCAGCAACTTCAAACACCTGTCAGTGCCTCGTGCCCATGGATGCATGGATGCATGGGCATGGGGTGCATGCACGCATGTGCATGGGTGCATGCATGCATGGGCATGGGAGTGCTTGTATCACTTCTAAAAACGCTCAGGATCCCACAAGCTGAGGGCACTTCGCTCTCCCATAGATTGCCGCCTGACACACACACCATGTTTGCCTGTGCTCCTTTGCTGTACCAGCACCCTCGCACCATGTTTGCCTGTGCTCCTTTGCTGTACCAGCACCCTCGCACCATGTTTGCCTGTGCTCCCCCCTCACCCAATCTTCCTCCTCCACTCGCCTGCACAGGTACTGGACAGTGGCACAGCAGGTGGCACATCACACCATCAACGGCTGTCCCTTGCGCCCGGGCGACCTGCTCGCCTCAGGCACCATCTCCGGCCCGGTCAGTAACCCATGCCCCTTATGAGACGTCTCAACAGTCACGCCATCAACGGCTGTCCCCTGCGCCCGGGCGACGTGCTTGCCTCAGGCACCATCTCCGGCCCGGTCAGTCCCACCCACGCCCTGCACCTCCCACACCCCACTGCCTTCTCCCACACCCCACTGCCTTCTCCCACACCCCACTGCCTTCTCCCTCACCCCTCTGCCTTCTCCCACACCCCACTGCCTTCTCCCACACCCCACTGCCTTCTCCCTCACCCCTCTGCCTTCTCCCACACCCCACTGCCTTCTCCCACACCCCACTGCCTTCTCCCTCACCCCTCTGCCTTCTCCCACACCCCACTGCCTTCTCCCTGCCTGCCTGCCCCGCTGAGTCCCGCCCTTCTCACCGCATCGCCTTGAGGCGCTTCAGAACTTGACCTGCTCGTCCCTGCCTTACTGCCTGCCCCACCAACTCCCCTCCTCCTCTCCTGCATCGGCCTCTCCCTGCCTTTGCATCAAGCCTATGGTTGGACGGATTGCTGAGGTGTCTCGGAAAAAAATCCTCGCATGATGAAGCCTATGGGTGGATGGGCCAGTGACCCTGACCACGCCGATACATCAGGCTTGTCCTTGCTTCTCCACACTCTTACCTTCCCATGTGCATGTGTGCATAAACCATACCCTGCTGCCACTACCCCTTGGTCTCAGGCAGAGGGCAGTGAGGGGTGTCTGCTAGAGCGCACACAGGCAGGCAAGCTCACTCTGGAACTCTCCCCTCAAGGATGTAGGGTTGTCTACTGCTCTTCCCGAGCCTCTGACCGAAGCTTAGGCCCGGGGACTGTGCGCCGGACGTACCTGGAGGATGGGGATGAGGTCATCATGACAGCTACCTGCCAGGTGGTTTGCACTATGTGACTCGTCTCACCACCACCTGTTGATGTGGTTCATCACCTGAGATGTGTACATTTATGTTGTAACCACTTCATGTATGTCATGGCCACTTCATGGTGTAGCTCGTTCGTATCATCGTCGTTTCTTTCATCATTTGCGCTTGTTATTTTGTTTCTCACACCCCTTCCTTGTCATCGTTTTACCCCCCTTACGGCACTGCCTGCGCTTCCCCAGTTGCCGCATGGAGTGATGATTGGTTTTGGAGAGTGCAGGGGTGTGGTGCTTCCTTCCGCATCTTCCACATTGCTCTAAATTAGCTGGAGTGGCTGTGTTGTCCCCTGAAGATGCGTTGGTGCCACCAAAGGGAATTTTACGCAGCAGCGACGAGTACAATCTTCATAGGAGCGCTATTTGTAGCTTGAGTGGCACATGTTATTGCGTGCCAGGAACGAACTCATGGTTAGTCGCATGAACTAGGCGTGCGCTGAAAATTGGTGAAGGCAAAGTTTGATAGTACAGATGCGGTGTAACATTGGCTCATAGGTAGTGGAAGAAGGGAGAACAAATGGCTATGGTTAGAATATGTATTTAGAGAAGTGAATGTACAGAGAGCGAGCAAACTGAACGCGCTTACTATCGGTGTCTAATGATGCCAAATGAGACGGTTGGATAACGGGCCGAGACTCACGGCACCTGAAGGGGCGCAAGCCTGCACAAATATTTTCCAGTTGGCACGTTGTGATTGCTTCATTCATACCCGTTTTCAGTCAACCCACCATCCGCACCTCGCCGACGTGGCTGGCGAATCTACAAATTGAGGCATTTTTTCCCTCACCATCGCAGCACCACGACAAACAAATAACCGAGCCGCGCATCTCACGCGACTCGGTCTTGCAAGCTTGGTGCAATGTGCACAAATCTCTCTCCACTCCACTCAACGCCACTCACCCTCGCCTCAATGATCCACTGTTCTCTTTTCTCTCAAACCTCGTCTTTCTGGGACCATTTTCACCCACATACCCACTCATTCCCCTCTCATCCGCAGTTACTTCTGTTGCTAACTGCTCCCTCCCTCACTCCACCTCTTCGACAGCAATGCTCTGCCAACTGCAAATTTGATCCATACACCCTTCGCAATTGTTAGACTACTTAGTTCCTTGCTCTCCACTCGTTCCCCCCAACGACGTCGCTGATTCGCCCTCATTACCCCATGCTTACGATACGATCCAATCACTGTTACGAATTCGACGCTTTCACGGCATCCCTTGTTCAATCTTGGCGCGACATGCTTTGCCTTGACGCGCTGTCGCTTCCCTCCGAAGCAAAAACTCGTTCCTTTCTCTCACTGGCGCCTGCTAGACCGCTCAAGTTCGTTTGCGTGTGTATGGTGAATGCATCCAGACTGCGCGTGCTGACAAGTCACTATCATAACGATTGCCGCAAATGCTGCCCACGAGGGGCCAGAGTGCTACTATGCTACAGCCTCTCCTACCCCTTTCCGATACAGTGCATCCCGCTATGTATCGTGTCGGCGTTCCCAAGAGCCTTTGAAAAAGGTGGAACGGTGGTTGGAGCTTCAGCTCGAAAAGAGGGTGCGTTGTCACTACGAATTGTGGGCAGTATAAAATCGTTCCTAGGTACAGTGTTGTGGTGCGTGTTATACGCTCGGTACTGTACGGTGGGTGACGTACGCGGAGCATAGTGCAGTGCGCCCCTGGCTGGAAGCAGCGACGCCCAGAGAGCCGTACTGCACTGTGCTAGGCGGTGATGCAGCAAGAATGCTGGCTGCTGCCTTTCCACGCCTTCCAGAAACCCGCAAACTTCGAGAGACAAGCCCTCGTTGGCCTTTTACAGTGCAGTGCACGGACGGATTCGGTGTTGCGCCCTTCGCAGTGCTCTGGCGATGCAGCGTGCTCTGAATCCTGCCCCCGCTGCACAGGGAACACTGCTTCCCTTTCACGTGCGTTCCTCCCCTCTGCAAGCAGCCCCGCTACTGTGCTAGGTACCCTTCCACTGTACACGCGAGCATTGGTGGAAGAGCGCCACGTGACCTACCCTCATCCTCTTCCTCCTTTCCACTTCCCACAGCAGCCTCGCCCCCCCTCCTCTCCCCTCCTCCCATTCTCTTTTCGTGTCTCTCGTTCGTGCCACTGACCCTCCCCCCAACCCTCACCTCGCGCGAGTCATTTCTTCTTATTCGCCCTTCCGCTGACGGACGTTCGCAGTGAATTGGCTGAAGGGGGAGGTGAGGCAGGCGAGGTTGAGGAGGAGGGAGGAGAAGCGCAGGTGCGGAGGATGGGGATGAGGAAACGAGAGGACGATCGTTGATGAGAGTAGTGCCTGCTCGTTTGTCGTTTGCACCGGCGGTCATGCACGCGCGACCTTAATATCCGCCAATCACGGCGCTTCATCCCTCCTGTTCCAATCGGATTTAGCAGTCCGGATTCCTCGTTCGTCCCTTTCCGCATCGCGCGCGACCGCCCTTCCGCCAGACGCTCGTTGACTCAGCTCAATGCACGCCGTCCACTAGAAACGCCTTGCTGATACAGTGCAGTACAGTACGGTATAGTGCAGTATAATACAGCGCCGTACAGTATTTAATACCTAAGGACTACACCAGAGTCCGACGGAGCAGAGTCAACTCGACGCCCAGATATTTTCTTCCGTTCACTGTTGCAAAAAGCAAGATAATATCTCCCGATATCAATCTCCCACAGGCTGATATTGGCGTTAGTACGCAGCACCACCGACCGATCGCCTTTCCTCTCTTCCGAACCACCCGTACTGGCTCAGCAGGTGTACCTCCGCGGCACCACAGTGCCGAGTCTGGCAGGCCGTGCCGAGGCTGCGACAGTTAATGCTCACGGAGGGGCTCGTGCGATCCCAACCCCACTCATCGGACTAGAACCAAAGTATAGCGCTGTATTAGTTTCGAGTCTTGACTCGTTCGTGAAGCGCTGAGGGCCTGAAGGTCAACCCAGCAGCAGTCACTGCTACGGCGCCGATATCATATCGCCAGCGTAGCCGCGCAAGGAGAGAGGAGGGATGCTCGCGGCGAGATTCGCGCATTCGCACCCTCGCACGGTCTGACTGACCGACGGCTACCCACGTCGCTCCCCCGCCAAGGGTGCGCTGTAGCGCGCGCACTCGCACCCCCGAGAGCTTGTAGTACGATCATCTCCCTCCTTCCTTCCAGCCTCGCCCCTCGCCTTGTTCATTTTGTACTCAAAGCAAGCTATCTTTTCAATAGCCTCCACAGACCATTGCTTAGATAATCGACAGCGCGTGAAATCCGCATACTGGCAGCACCCGAGCTTCACGAGTTAGGGTGCTTGATCCAATCGATCGGATCGACATCGCGATTTCAAGCAGCGCGCACCATATCGGTCGCAGATTAAAAGTACGGCCACACATTCCGTCAATTTGCGACAGACTCTGTCAGCTCCAATTCCGATAACGGCCTCAGTCCAGCGGTCGCCCTCCACGATCTCCGTCAATCTCCGTCAACCTCCGTCAGTTTCCGTCATTTTCCGTCAACGCACGTCAAGCGCGGCGCGCGACAATGGAAGGGAGCAGCAGCACGGCAATGTCAATGTCGATGGAAGCGCTACAGATGGCCATGGCAGATGACGTGGACCAATGGGAAGCCGCGGACGACCCGCAGGGAACCCTCAGCATGATGGCCATGCTCCTGGGCGGCGGGGATGCGAGTTTGGGCGGCACAAACGACGTTTTCCTGGGCGGCAGTGACTTTCATTTGGGCGGAGCGAGTGACATGCTGCTGGGCGGCACGTCATTGGAAGATCTCCTGGGTGGCGGTACCCACGGCGGCAATGGTGGCGGAATTGGCGGCGGGAATGGCGGCGGGAATGGCGGCGATATGGTGCACGGCCAAGGCCAGTGCGGCCCCGCGATGGGATTCGACAACCGCATTGCCAGCGTCGCTGCCCAAGGCCATCTGGACGGAGCTCTTCTCGAGGCGGCTTATAACGGGACGCCTATGATGGGCGCCGGTGCTGGTTTGCCTCGTGGCAACCATGGGCCCGCCAATTGCGGTTCAGCTGTTCAGTGGGGCTCTTCGGAGGAGCAAGCACACGACGCCTCGTTTGTGGGACAGAGCAGCGTAATTGGAGTTGACTCGTCCGCTGTACTCGGTACAAGCAGCCTCGTTGGTACACATGGGCATTCCGCCATTGCTCCCGATCCAACCAACCTCTGGATGCTACAGCAGCAACAGCAACAGCAGCAACACCTGCTGCTCCAATCCGAGCCTCACACACAGGCTTGGCCGGACCTGAAGCCACCAGCCGATCTGAAGCCCGAGCGGAGGGCGCTGGTGGTGCAGTCGTGTGACTATAAGGGGGGCAAGGGCGGCCGCCAGGGCGGCGCTCAGCTGCTTCAGATGCCGCCCGGGTTGCGCCTTGCGCCGCCCGTGCCTGCGCTTGCGACTGCTGCTGTTGGAAACTCCGCCGTTGCCGCTTCTGCCACTGCTGGTTCAAATGCTGCGGCATTTGAGAATTCTAAGATATTGCCTGGCACGGCTACTCACCCACACGTGCGTGGCATGGCTGCAGTGCCTGGCACGGCTGCAGTGCCTGGCATGGCGGCTCTCCCAGACGAGCGCGGAAATGGTTATGTGAACACGAGTGCGCGCATGCGGCTGCCACGGGCCAGCACTGCGCCCGCGAATGCGGCTCCTCTGGACAGCGCAGCAGCAGCAGTGGCTGTAGCGGCGGAAGTGGGGAACGAACACTTTCTTCTTGACAGCAGCGGCGGTGCTGTGAGCGGCGGCATGTGGCGCAGCCACAGCAGCACCAGCCGGAGCAGGCCGGTCGCTGTTTGGGCGAGTGAGGCGGGAGTGAGTGGCGCAGCGGAGGGGGAACGGGCGCCCGCTGCACTGAGCGGTTTGCTGGAGTGCCCAGGGGAGCTGCAGTCAATTGAGGGTGCTGCTGCTGCCTTTGGCACCGCTGCTGGCGCTGCTGCTGCTGCCGATGCTGGTGCTGGCAATGCTGGTGGTGGTGGTGGTGGTGGAAGTGAGAGATTGGCACGAGCCGGGATGCGCAAGAGTCGCAGCAGCAGCAGTGCCAGGCCTCGTGTCACTCAACTGGGCCCACGGGGAGGCGGCAAACGAGCAACAGCCGGCACGGGCATGAACCGAAGCCGCAGCAGCCACGTGCTGCTCACCACCCCTGCCGCCACCACTCCTGCTACCGCCATTCCTGACCCTGCCGCTCCTCCTTTCCACTCTCCTCCTCTTCCCACTGCTGCGGCGGCCACTGCTGGTGCCAGCATTGGTGGAGTGCAGAAGAGTGGCGAGGCATGCCCTGGCTCACCAGAGTGGGATCTTCCATCCTTCCAGCGGGAGAACCAGGCCCTGGCTCAGGCACTGCTGCACGATGCTGACCTCGGCTTCTCACCTCCTTCCCAAACTGCTGCTGCTGCTGCTGCTGCTGCTGCTGCTGCTGCTGGTAGTGCTGGTGCTGTTGGTGGTGGTGCTGCTGCTGTGGGCTCATATGACGTCAGCAGAAGCATGAGCGGAGGAGGGGCGACAGGCGCCGGGATGAGCAGCTGCAGCCTGGGCGGCGAGACGAGCTTGGGCGGCACCAGCATTTGCGGCACGAGCCTGGGCGCGGGCACGAGCATGGGCGGCGGGACAAGCATGGGCGGTGGGACAAGCACGGGCGGCGGGGTGGCAACGGGCGGCGACAGCAGCGACCCGGAGGAGCAAGGGTTGGCGAAGGGCACGTGGTTACCGGAGGAGGACGGCGTGCTGATGGAGTATGTGCGCTGCCACGGCCCGCGCAACTGGGGCGCGCTCAGAGCCAGAGGGCTGCTCAGACGCTCGGGCAAGAGCTGCCGATTGCGATGGGTCAACCAGCTGAAGCCCGGCCTGCAGGTGGGTTGCTTGAATCAGGTGAGAGGGAAAGGCACTCTTGAGTCAACTGAATTAGGCACATTCGAATTGACTCAAAAGAGTTGACTTGTGAGTCATCGTCTCATGAACTATTGCCTGCCTGCGATGGGTCAACCAGCTCAAGCCCGGCTTGCAGGTGGGGTGGGATGCCTTAGGCGGAGGCAAGGCACAGAGAGGATCCTGGCAACAATGCTGGGTTGCATTGCTTACCTTGCTCTGCCGGCTCTTGCCACTGCTCAATTCTTCCTCCCCCCTGCCTCCCTGCCTCCCTGCGGCCATGTCACCACTGCTGTCTAAACTTCCGTCTCTCCGTCCCTCCCCTCCCTCTTCTCCAGCCTTCTCCTATACCCTGCATACCCACAGCGCTACGGTGGCAAGGGGTGCAAGAGGTTCAGCGAGGCGTGGTGTTGGCGCTGCAGCGCGCCGTGGGCAACAAGTGGGCGCACATCGCCCGCCACCTGCCCCATTCTTCCTCCTCACTGCCTCACTGCCTCCCTGCCTCCCTGGTTTCACCACTGCCCATTTGAACGCATGTCTCCTCTCCCCCTATTCTCTCCCCTTCTCCCGCTTTTGAGTCGACTCAAAAGCAGACTCATTTCTCGCGGTTTTTACATTAAAAAGTTATTTGTTGCATGGCAGGTTGGGAAGAGTGTACAGAGAACACTTGTTCGAGCGAGACTTCCAAGGACTCGCCCCCGAATTTTTCCCGAAGCAGACGTGGACACTTCGGGTTCACCCGAGTGAATACGATTGGCCAGTTTCCAGATTGTCTCCCTGGTTTCACCACTGCCCATTTGAACGTATGTCTCCTCTCCCCCTATTCTCTCCCCTTCTCCCGTAATTTCCCCCCTGGCAGAGGTATGGAGGCAAGGGGTGCAAGCGGTTCAGCGAGGCGGAAGCAAGTGTGGTGCTGGCGCTGCAGCGCGCCGTGGGCAACAAGTGGGCGCACATCGCCCGCCACCTGCCCGGCCGCACGGACAACGATGTGAAGAACTTCTGGAACCTGCACCTCAAGCGCCAGGCCCGCCTGCGCGCTCGGGGGGGAGGGGCGCGCCTTGGCGAGGATGGGGATGGGGATGGGGGTGAGCGAGATGGTGGTAACCAAGACAGTGGTAACCACATTGGTAACCAGAGTGAAGAAGACCATAAGGGTGAGAAGCGGGGGAGCGGTGAAAATGGTGATGGGGGCCGCGACAGCACCTTGAACAGTGGCAGCCCAGAGCATGAGGGTGGGATGGCAGCGAGCGAGGGTGGGACTCCTGGGGCCCATGAGGACGTTGCATGGACCAATCACATGGCAGGTACCGATGTCAAGCCCCTTTCTCATGCTCCCGCTGCGCCTGCTACCGCTGCTGCTGCTGCTGCTGCCACTGGTGCTGCCGCTGCCACTTCCGGTGCTGGTGCAGCAGCAAACACCAACAGTGTTGAGGAGAAAGCGATCAAGGGCACAACCACCAACACTCCCACTCCACCTGCCACAGAAGCAGCACCCGCATCCGCTCCCTCTCTCCCCGTCCCTTCCTCCCTGCCGCCCCACATGCACCAACACGCCAAGCCACTCCTCCCGCGCGCCCGCCCCTCTTCCTCCTCCGGGAGGCCTCTGTCGGCCGGCAGCCGCCCGTCTTCCTCGTCCGGGCGGCAGTCAAAGCTATCGCTGCACCAGAGGCGTCTGCAGCGGAACTCCTCTGGTGGAGGTGGCAGCGGCCTTGGCGCAACTGGCGCTGGTGGTGGGGGGGGATGTGCACGCTGTGCTGGTTGCCGCAATGCCGCCGGTAACAACAACGGGGTTGACAGCATGATCGGCACTGGTGCTGCCGCTGCTGCCGCCGCCGCTGCCGGTGCGGTGGGGAGTGGCGATGAGGAGCAGGCACCAGGGAGTCCCACGGAGGGCGGAGGGGGAGCGGGGGAAGCCATGGACGTGGCGGGCGCGGGGAGCAGCCTCTCTGCTCTCAAGATAGGTGCGCCTCTCAAGATAGGTGCGCCTCTCAAGATAGGTGCGCCTCTCACCATTCCATCCCCTTGCTGGGTGCGTCTCTACCCCCTTGCTGCACGCACGCAGCCATTCCTGGGCGCTTGCCCGCGTTGAGAATTGCCTGTTAGATCCTCCTCGCCTTTCCCCACTCACACTCCCTCTCTCTCCCCCTCCCCCTGCCCCCCCCTCTGTCCGCTGCAGGCGAGCCCAACGCGCAGCTGAATACGCTGATCAACCTAGAGGATTGGATCAACTCCCCTTCACCCGCTGCTGCTGCTCCCCCTCGCCGTACGGGCTGCTCGCCCTTCTACATCAACCTCTCCCCCTCCGCCCGCCGCCTCCGCTCCCCCGGCTCCCCCTCCCCCCGCTCCCTCTACCTCCGCTCCCCCTCCCCCCGCGCCCTCGCCTCCCCCCGCGCCCTCCCCTCCCCCCGTCACCGCGCCTCCCCAGCCCACCGGGTCTTCCCCCACCCTCCCCCGCACCCCTCGTCCCGCCACTCCCCCCTCTCGTCCTCCCCATCCCGTCACAACAACCACTCGGGTTCCCAGCCCTCCCCTCTCTCCTCGTCTTCCCCTCGGCCCCCCTCACGGCCTCGGCACCCCCTCTCCTCCTCCTCCCTCTCGCCCTCTCACCCCACCGGCCATCGCTCACTGGAAAAGCATGTGGTGGGAGCTGAGGAAAGGGAGGTGGGTGATCATGTGAAGCAGCAGGGCCAGGAAGGCAGTGAGGAAAGAAGGCAGGAGACAGAGAGAAGACAGTTGCATGAGGAAAAGCAGGGGGAGGAGGAAAAGCATGGGCAGGAAAATCAACCTAGGGGAATTCAAGCAGCAGAGGGAGAGGTTCCGCAGGGGACCAGCCTGGCCAGTTACAGGGTGCCACGTGGCAAGGGGCTGCTGCAGCTTCCCAATCAAAGAAAGCCAGCCGCACACAGTGGCTCACTGGCCTCTGCCCTGGAGCCACTTCAGCATGAGATTATGCCACATCAGGAGGAAATTCTGCCAAGTCAGCAGCTTCAGCCCATTCAGATGGAATCTAGCTGGCATAATCCCGAGCTCGTTCACGAACCCGCAGGAAACCCTGTTGCCGAGCCTCTTGTGGAGCCTCTTGCCGAGCCTACTGCCGAGCCTATTGCTGGAGGCATGACCATGTGTGAGAAGAGGGATAGGAGCGTGTGTCGGAGCATGAGCATGGAGAGCAGCGTGCGAAGGAGCCAGCACCAGCAGGGTAGGAAAAGCTCTACTGGCGTTGCTGCCAGTGCCTCGCTACAAGCATCTCCGATAGAAGACGTGCTGGTGCCAGCAGTGCGGCAGCAGCAGAAAATGCAAGAATTCCAAGCGGCTCTGCAGTATCATGACCACCAACATCTTAACCAGCAGCTTCATCAGCAACAGCAACTTACTCAGCATGAGCATGGGCATGGGCATGGGCATGGGTATGGGTACGAGCAGAGGGAGACCACGAGTGGCACGAAACACGGCAGCACGGGAGGAGGCACAGCACCAGCACCCGTTCCCAAGCACCGTCGCCACCACACCACAGCCACACCACCACCTCTTACTCACGGCACTGCCCCAGACACCACCACCAACCCATGCCTGAGTGCCTCAGAGCACAGTGCTGGGAGCCCTGCAGTCAGCCATGCAGCAGCAAGCCCTGCTGTGAACCATGGAGCAGTGAGCCTCGGAGCAAGCCCAGCAGTGAACTATGGAGCAAGCCAGCACACCGGCACAGGCACAGGCACAGGTCCAACACGGCACGCCCATGCGCCTGCCCACTCCACACACTCGGGCCCGTGTGCGAGTGCATGTGGGAGTGCGTGTGTGAGTGGCAGCAGCCCCAGTGCGAGCCTCAAGGCGAATGCAGGCGTGCATGGGATCCGCGTGTGGCATTTGGGTGCGCCTGCTGCCGCCCTCGTGCCGCCCGTTATTGATGTCTCGGTTGCTGCTGCCGCCCTCGTGCCGCCCGTTATTGATGTCTCGGTTGCTGCTGCCGCCCATGTGGGCATGGGGCAGTCTGGGGATGCTGGTGGGGTGATAGAGTACCACTGGGGTAGGGGGTTCATTCGGGCTGCTCCGTAGGAGCCTGGTCCCGAAGTTAAAATCTATATGGGAGGGAAACATGTTGGTGTTTTGACACATTGTGGTGAAGATTATGTAAGCCAAGGTTAGCGGAAACCGTATGTGGAGCCCAGAAGCGACTCCACTGGGGATCGAACCCAGAATCTCTGGTTCCGTAGACCAGCGCCTTATCCATTGGGCCATGGAGTCACGAGAGATTGCCATCTTAAATTATATTAACCGTTTTTTTACATCATGCAAAGTCCCACACGACTTCAGTTTCTTGGTCACCCAACACCAGCAGCCATGGCGTCCCTGCCCGACCACGGTGCGCTGCGTCCTCGCACCGCATCGCCTGAAATCGACTGGGACAGGTCCGTCGGTAAAAACCACGCTTCCTTCGCTGGTCCGCTCCCGCCTTCCACGATTTCACCGAGGCCCTACCCGCGTGTCCCTTCGCGCTTTCTACCTCCTCCAAATCCTTTCGCCCTCGCATTTCTCCTCCTTAGCCAGTCACTCACTACTTGATCCCCAGCGCCATCCGCGCCTTTCATCGATCTTTCTTCCGGTCCCCTCTCTGTTGCGTCTGCTCCCATCTTTCCTCGCGGATCGTCCTTGCGCAATAGAGCATTCCAAACTGCTAGGGTTCTTGACTCGTCCTCCCACAGCCAATTCCCCACATTCTCTTTCCCAAACCCTCGTCTCCCCATCCCCCAACCCCCCGCTTCCGCGGATCCTGCGCGCGCGCGCGGCAGGTTGGACAAGACGCGCATGTTCGTGGTGGGCGCGGGGCTCTTCAGCGGACTGACCGTTGCGCTCTACCCGCTCTCCGTCATCAAAACGCGCCTCCAGGTCTCTCCGCTCCCGCTCTCCGCCGCCCATGCCGCCCCCGCTTCCGCTCCCCCTTCCTCTTCCGCTTCCGCTTCTGCTTCCCCCGGAGCGGGCGCGCCTGCTGCTCCCGCAAGGCCTGCGGCGCAAGCAGCGGGCAATGCAGGGCTGGCGGGAGCAAGCGGGGTGGCGGGTTCGGGGGGAACGGGAGCATCCCGGGCGGTGGAGGGGGCGGGAGCGGAAGCCCGCGTTAGTGGGAATGGCGCGGCGACAGCAGCGGGCACTGCAAGAACAGGCGGAGACAAAAGGGCAACTACAGGTGCAGCAGCTGTAACACCAGTCACACGGGTAACACCAGGAACAACTGGAACAGCGGTGAGTGGAGCAACAGCTGCAGCAGGCGGAGCAACGGGGGGAGCAGCAGGCGGAGCAACGGGGGGAGCAACAGGGAGAGCAGCTTCAGCAGGAGGGGCAGCGCGGGCAGCGGCGGGGGGCAGGGGCCCATCCTCCGTGAGCCTAGCGGTGGGCATGGCGCGGCACATAGCGCGCACGGAGGGCGTGAGGGGGTTCTTCCGCGGCATGGGGACTGTGGTGGCGGGTATGCTCCCCGGGCGGATCATTTATATGGCCGTGCTGGAGGCTGTCAAGGCCAACACGCTCAAGGGGATTAACGGGGTAACGGATCAGCCTGTAGAGGGGACGTCTGACGATGCTGTCAGCACGAGCAGTGGTAGTGGCGGCAGCAGCAGCAGCAGCACAAGCAGCGGTAGCAGCAGGGGCAGTGGTGGGAGCAGCGGGAGCACTGAGAGCAGAGGTGGCAGTGGCGGTGTGGTGGGTGGCGGTGTGGTGGGCGGCACGGGGCGGTGGCTGCATTTGTCTGATACGGCAGCAGCAGGGCTGGCGAGTGCGGTGGGCGGCATGTGCGCGTCCCTTGCCACCCAGGCTGTTGTTGTGCCCGTGGACGTGGTGAGTGGGGGAGGAGGGGGAGGGAGTGGGGGACAGGGGGGTTGGGAGTGATGGTCTGGGATGAGGGAGTGGGGGATTGGGGGAGGAGGGAGGGGAAAGGGAGGGCAGGAGGAGGATTTCCATGTTCTTCATTCATCCAACCTCCCGCCGTTTTCCCCTCCCGCCGTTTTCCCCTCCCACAATCCTATTCTCTTTCCCATCTCTTCCGTCCCCCTGCCGCACTCTCCCTTCGTCCCAACCCGTCCCACCCTCGCACGTGCCGTTCTCCCTTATCCCACCCGCTCCTCCCACTCGCCCATCATCAGATCAGCTCTCGTCTCGTGGCACAGCAGGGCGACCTGCCACACCACGCCACCAGACCCGCACCCGCTGCACCAGGAGCGCCGCTAGCAGCTTCCACACCAGCAGCGGCAGCAGGAGCAGCAAGAGCAGGAGCGGCAGCGGCAGGAGGAGGGGCAGGGGCGGGGGCAGTGCGGTATAAGGGGGGGATTGACGCACTGGTGATGATACTGCGAACGGAGGGGCCGCGTGGGCTGTACCGTGGGTTTGGGTTGTCGGTGCTCACGTATGCTCCCTCGGGGTTCATCTGGTGGGGCACCTATGGCGCCACGCAACGCCTGTTTTGGAGGTGAGGCCGCATGTCAAGGGAGGGACTGGTGGAAGGGAAAGGTCTCAATCAAGTCAGGGAAATCACTGCTCGCTCTGGAGGTGAGGTGAGGTGAGGTGAGGTCGCAGGGCCGACACTGCTGTGCGGCGTGCTCTTTTCCCTGGGCTGTTCTCTTCTCCTCTCCCTCACCCTCTCTTCCCCTTCCCCGTCTCCCCCACTTTGCCAACCCCGCTCCCCCCCTCCCCCAACCACATCACTCCGCAGTTTGTACGACCAGTTGTGGGCACCAGCAGGCGGCGCAGCAGCAGCGCCCCCACTGGCGCTGGTGGTGGGCGTGCAGGTGGGGGGCGGCATGTGTGCCGGGCTGGCGTCCGCCCTCGCCACCACCCCACTTGACACCGTCAAGACACGCATTCAGGTGAAGGGTGGGTGTTGGTATGTTGCAGCAGCTGGTGGAGCAGGGCGGGCTGAGAGAGCTGTTGGTGCTAAAGCTGCCGTGCAACCCACTCACCCATACCCCCCTTCCTCCTCCCTGACTCCGCATCAGGTGAGGCGCAGTGCAGGAGTGAAGTGCAGTAGTAGGAGTGAAGGTGGCAGTGGGGGTCGGACAGCCGGTGGATCATCGTGAGCCAACTCAACAGTCCCCCCTCCCCTCCCCTCAACAGGCTTTTGAGGCACCTGAAAAGAGGGCGCCAGGTGCCAGTGCTGCTGTGCACCCCACTCACACCATCCCACACACCATCCCACTCGCACTCCCCTCCCTTCTCCCCCACACATGGCAGGTGGGGCGCAGGAGCGGAGCAGCAGTGACAGTGGCCGCGGTGGTGAGGCAGCTAGTGGAGCAGGACGGGGTGAGAGGGCTGTACCGTGGCTTCGCCCCTCGCTGTGCCAGCACCATGCTCTGGGGCACTGCCATGGTCTCTACCTACGAGTACCTCAGTACGTGGCTTCTTTCCTCCTTTACTCCTTTACCTGATGTATACACCTCCTCACAAACCAACCTATGCCAGCACCATGCTCTGGGGCACTGCCATGGTCTCTACCTACGAGTACCTCAGTACGTGGCTTCTTTCCTCCTTTACTCCTTTACCTGATGTATACACCTCCTCACAAACCAACCTATGCCAGCACCATGCTCTGGGGCACTGCTATGGTCTCTACCCACTAATACCTGAGCACGTGTCCCCCTTCGCCACTCCCTCGACCCAATTCTTTTGTCCCTCCTCCCCAAACCCTCCGCCCTGCACCCTACCCATTCGTGACACATTCTTGCATGCCGTGAACGCACCCGTGGATGTCTGATTGACCGTCCCCCATGGTCCCCACGTGCTCTCACTCCCGTATGTGTGTGCGCATGCCTCTGCCTCTCACTCACACCTCCATATCCTGCATTCTCACACTCTCCCTCCTCCCACCATCGTTGCATCTCCCTCTGCCCTCCCCCGCCATGCATCAACAGAGCGCCTATGTGCCAAAGACATCTTTGTTGAGATTCAGGTACAAGATTGGGCAGGGTGATGTGACGATGCAAAATGTATCTCTTCCCTCCTCCCACCACCGTTGCTTCTGCCTCTGCCCTCCCCTACCATGCACCTACAGAGCGCCTATGTGCGAAGGACAGCACTGACGAGCTTTGATGGGCTACCGACGAGTCAAACAGAAGATTGAGGCGCATCAACAGAGCGCCTATGTGCCAAGGACAGCACTACTGAGATTTCAGTAGTGTGGCTTTCCAAAATTGACCCGCATGGTTGACAAGATACCAAGAGCAAGTGGCAACCTTGCTTCATGCTTGTGTTGCTACACTGTCCTACCATGTTGTGCTGCAAAGAGATGCAGTGTTACGTGCAGTGGTGCTGCAGTGGAAGGGGAGGTGTGGTGCGGTGGTACGGGTTTCGCTTAATTAACTACTACGCGGAAAGTGTTCTCCACAAGCAGTGTGGCAGAGCAGTAAAATGCTTCATAGTAAAAGCACGCCAAATCTACTGTATACGGTACCATAAAACAACTTCGTGACAAGTTCATAGTAGCGTAAGCTTTGTGGCAAGCTCGCACTAACGTGGGTGTGACTTCGACGAGTGGTGGTTGAGTGAACAATATTGCAGTAATTGTGGTAGTACAGGATTAGAATCATCATAGTATTGCACAAGTGGCAGTAGACTAATTCACTCGCTCCATGCCAATCACTCACATCCTTGCTATGAACTCATTTCCCCGCTGTTAAATTAGTTCCTGCCTGCCTAATCTCTACATCCTTGCTGACCCACACCCTCCCTGCTAATCCACATCCTCCCTAAAAACTCTCTACATCTTGGATACTCACTCCCTCCCTGCCAACTCACTTCCTTCTTGCCATCTCCCTCTCTCCCAGCTAACTGTCAAATGTTGTAGCCTGTAGTGAGGTTTGTCTTAGGGGGTACAGAAGTTAGGGTTTGTCATATGTACCCCAACCAACATCAATGGAACACTCATTCCTCATTCTGACATGGTATCAGCTAGGTTAGGATCCTGTGGGATCCCGTTCCTCCGTTCTCCGTTCGTACCGTAAGCCCCCGGATAGAAGCGCAGGCCTCGGATAAGCGCCGGCGCTTATAAAAGGATGAGGGCGCTTATATCCGGTCCTCGATTATAAGCGCACCCCTAAAGGCTTACGGATTATAAGCGCCACCCTCTGAATTATTTTTAATATTTTTACTGGAAACGCTGTAACGAAACACAATTTTTGCATCCCAACATTCAGAAATTCGAATCCCTTCACCATCGCGCGACTCAATGCCAATTTACGCGAGATTCACATTCCAGCCCCCTAGAATATCGATTCGATTCAAATCGCAAGGACGAGATGAACACTTTGGTGTAAAAAAACTAGATTTCATATATGTCATTTTATAAGCCCCGGCGCTTATAAAAATCCTCAATTATAAGCCCACCCCCTAAAAAACAGTGTTTTTTTATAACCCCAGGGGCGCTTCTATCCGGGGGCTGACGGTACCTCCCGAGCCTGATCCTACCTCTCGTTCGTACCAGTTTCGTTGTTACCGCGCCTAGTACCGAGCCTAGCGCCATCTCCCCCGTCGCGTCACGCCCGTTCCCCCCCGTCGTGTCGCGCCCGTTCCCCCCGTCGCGTCGCGCCCGTTCCCCCCGTCGCGTCGCGCCCGTTCCCCCTGTCGCGTCGCGCCCGTTCCCCCCGTCGCGTCGCGCCCGTTCCCCCCCGTCGCGTCGCGCCCGTTCCCCCCGTCGCGTCGCACCCGCCTGTTACCCCCCCCGTCCCGTCGCCCTGTCCCGTCGCGTCGCCCTGCCCTGTCGCGTCGCCCTGCCCTGTCCCGTCGCCCTGTCCCGTCGCGTCGCCCTACCCCGTCGCGTCGCCCTGCCCTGTCCCGTCGCCCTGCTCCGTCGCGCCGCCCTGCCCCGTCGCGTCGCCCTGTCCCGTCGCGTCGCCCTGCCCCGTCGCGTCGCTCCCGCCCTTTCCCCCGTCGCGTCGCCCTCCCTAGGCCCTGGCCCGTCGCCCTCCCTAGGCCCTGGCCCGTCGCCCTCCCTAGGCCCTGGCCCGTCGCCCTTCCTAGGCCCTGGCCCGTCGCCCTCCCTAGGCTCTGGCCCGTCGCCCTACCCTAGGCCCTGGCCCGTTGCCCTACCCTAGGTCTTGGCCCGTCGCCCTAGCCCGCTCTTCCGCTGCGACTGAGTCCTCTTCCCCCCCGGTTGTTACTCGCCTGTTCGTTCGCGTTAATTCTCACTATGGCGACTCCGCGAGTTCTTCGTTTCGACGCCGACGGTAGACCCCTTGACTTTTCCATCTGGCTTCTTCGCGCTCGTCGTCTGTTAGAGAGTCAGGTCCAGGGGGGCGAGACCCTCTGGTCACACGCTACTGGTGACCTCCCCGAGCCCCCCGAGCCTACAGCTTTAGGCCCTGCTCCTGACGACGCTGCTACGGCTCGCTTTGCCCGTCAGCGCGCTGACCGGACGGCTTGGACGTCGCGTGACGCTGCGGCCTGCATCGCACTCAGCAGCCTCCTCCCTGAGTCCGAGGAGGTCCACTTTACTCAGGTTCGCACCGCTGCTGCGTACCTCACTGCGATTAAGGCCCGCTACTCTACTCCCGCTACTGTCTCTCTCGGCCGTCTTTTCCTCCCGCTCCTGTTTCCTGATCTTGCCTTGTTTGAGCGCTCTGCTGACTTGATCGCTCACCTCCGCTCGCTCGACACTAGTTACCGCGCTGCTTGCACTGAGGCACAGCTTGCACTGCTTCCTCCCCCCATGGAGATTACTGTCTATTTCATCGCCACTAGCCTCCCTGACCGCCTTGCCTCCGTTCGTGACGCGCTTCTGCTGAAGCACCCTAGTGAGCTGACTATCGAGGTCCTTGAGTCTGCACTCAAGGACGTCGAGAGCAACCTTCGTTCGGTAGCTGCCGCCTCTGGTACTGTGTCCCCCCCACTCTTCCACGGGTGCACAGTCCCGCAGTTACCCACCTTCACTGCCTCTCTTGCCCCTGCCGCTACTGACGCGACTGCGGCTGCTGTTACGACTGCGTCGCGGTCCCGCGGCAGGGGGGGCAAGAAAGGTGGTTCCGGTGGAGGTGGAGGCGGAGGTAGCGGAGGTAGTGGGGGTGCTGTTGCGACTGGCGGTGGTGGGAGTGCAGCGTCTGGAGAGACCCCTCGTGCAGCGGCTGGTGACTCCACTGCACCTGCTGGTGGCGGCGACCCTCGAGCTCGTCAGTCGCCCCCTGTACTGCCGGCCCCGCTAGGTGGAGCAGCGACGTGGTACCAGGCTCAGCGTCAGCAGCACCTTCAGCAGCAGCAGCAGCCCCTTTCCTCCCAGCAGCCTCAGCAGCAGCAGCGTCAGCAGCTGGCTCCGGGGTCGGGGCTGCGTCAGCCCCAGCGCGGTGCTGCTTACCCTCCCTGCCCCTACCAGGTTCAGACAGGTCCTCGTCGGGGCCACCCTTGTGGCCGCTTTCACCCCCCTGGTCAGTGCTTTGCTCAGCTCACTGACACGGTCCGGTTGACCTACGGGGTTGGCGGTCCTGCTCCTGACTGGCTTCCTCTGGTTCAGCGCTACGGCTCCGCTCTGTGGGGCATGTCTGCTGAGCGGTTAGTTGATCTGATTAGTGCTCCTCATGCTATGTATGCTGTTGTTGACTCTAGTGTTTCTGACTCTGTTTACTCTGGTGTTGTTAGCTTAGGTGCTAGTCTTGCTCAGTTGCCTGTTGCTAGTGTAGGTACTTGTGTAGACTCTAGACCAGCGACTACCTCAGAGGACGCTTCGCTGTCGTTCACACTGGACTCTGGAGCCTCCCACTGCTTCTTTCGGGACAGCACGACACTTACCCCACTTCCTGCGCCTGTTTCTGTGGCGTTGGCTGATCCCACTACGGGACCAGTCACTGCACGTCACACTACCACTTTACCGTGTCCTGCTACTCCCTCCGGGTCTCTCACTGGGTTTCACGTCCCCTCGTTCTCCCGGAACTTGGTGGGCGTGCGACCCCTCGTGAGTCAGCACGTGGGTGTGTGGTTTGAGCCTTCTGGAGAGACTGCGGTGTGTGTTGACGGAGACTCTTACCAGCCTCTTGCTACCTTTACTGCTGAGCCGGGCTCGGGTCTCTACACTCTTCACACTGGCCCGCGTGCGCCACCGCAGCAGCCGCAGCAGCAGCAGCAGCCGCAGCCGCAGCAGCAGCAGCAGCAGCAGCAGCAGCAGCAGCAGCAGCAGCAGCAGCAGCACCAGCGGCCGCACCAGCAGCCCCCCCTACTGCCACTGCCCCCGGTTCCCCCCCCGTTCGGGTCCCCGCGTCTCACCAGGTTGCTACGTCCCCCCAGGTGTCTGTGTCGTGTCAGGTTCCTACGTCTGTTCCAGTCGCTGCGTCCTGCTCCTGCCGGTCGCTTGCCCACCCCACCGTTCTGTGGCACCACCGGATGGGGCACCCGTCCCTTCCACGTCTGCGCGCTATGTCTAGTCAGCGTCTTGTCCTAGGCCTCCCACGTGTCTTGCCGTCGCTGCCGCCTTCGCCTGCGCCGCCGTGTCGTCCCTGCGTCGAGGGTAGGCTGCGCGCCACCCCTCACTCCTCCTCCCTTCGTCCGGCCACCGAGCCTTTTGAGATGCTTCACTTGGACGTCTGGGGCCCAGCCCCTCGTCTAGGCCCTGAGCGTGAGCGTTAATTTCTGGTGGTCGTTGACGACTTCTCCCGCTACACCACAGTGTTCCCTCTGGCGAAGAAGTCTGAGGTGACTTCTACGCTGATCAGGTGGTTGCTCACCACTGAGGACACTCGTGGTCGTCGTGTCAGCTGTCTTCACTCCGACCGTGGG